CATGCAGATCATCACCAACTGCGTTATCCACATTCTTCATCTTGGCCTGATGCTGGTGTCACCGGCGGCCCCCCCTCAGGTAAAGTCTGGCAAACTGCTGGTGACACCGCCTGTTTGTAGAAGGAGCCTAACCCTCTCTCCTAATTCCTGACCCGTCCCTCAGAGCCCAGGAAACAACGCAGAGGATCAAAGCTGGACCTCCGAGGTCACAGAGTTCAGGCCCCTGGAGGTCCGAGTAGATCCTTTAAAGACCCGGCGGAAACAACGGCCGCACAAACCAATGCAATAAACTTGAGATTTCTGGCTCCGCAGCGTGAGACATGTGGCGGGACCGCCAACGGTATGCACGGCGTCTTCTCTGGACAATGAGGTCGTCCAGTCTACGGCGATACGGGGAAACAAGCGCTTCTCTCCGGTGTCACGCTAATCCCACGGCCACAGGCCCGCAGCGCCCCGCCTGACAGATACACGCCTCTTAACTGCTCCATTAGCTCGCCGCCACAGGCGTCGGCAGACAGCTTCGCACTGGGATAATCCTGCTGGGATGAGGGGGGGGAAGAGGGGCGCGGGGGGGAAAGGAGTTAAAAAGGCACCAGCGATGTCCAAAGGGACGGGGGATGACAAAAACATCATCATTAAGCACATTACAGATTAAAAATGATATATCTTTTTTTAAGAGCATTGAAATCAACGCTCGATATTAACAGAACGTAATGAGATTGATATGAAAGACTTCTGGTCATGAGTCAAACTAATCACACATCAAACTGAGGCTACGATAAGTTATCATTATGGAGACAAAAACAAAGCCGTGATAATGTGTGAAAGTTGTAGACTTGGATAGGAGGCGGAGTTGAGAACATTAGACGTGACTAAAGGCTTAACTGTTCCGATCCGTCCATTTCGATCCAGATGAAATCTTTGGTTGGAAAATACGGGGGGGGAAGAAAGACAAGGGTGGTCCTGGCTGTGGCCTGATACCCTATAATCTCACACGATAATCTCACATGAAGAGAGCAGAATTTGTTTTCATGCGTCTCCCACAGTGTGACACACGCTGAACTAGCACGAGTGTTTTTACTGCACATCAGACGCCACAGCCTCAGTTTTGCAGCGAAGCCCTTGAATAATAAAGCAATGCACGGGACATCTGCACGCACGCAGGAGCGTCACTGGTGACAGCGCTAGAAATAAATCAGTACGGCCAGCTTTCCGTCCAGCAGACAACAGTGTGCTTTGAGTAAATGTACCAGTGCTGATCCAAAAGGACGTGTTGGCAGAACAAGAGGAAAGTTACGAGGGGGAGAGAGAGCGGTGCCATTAAACAACAGGGGCGCTAGTGCCTGGCCAACCGACTGGAAGGTGAAGGGTAGGGAAACCCAGGGGTCTGTCCAGTGGCACCTGCCATCATTCATTCACCGCCGCCACACTGGGAGCAGCATCTTCTTCCTCGCCACTCCGCATCCTCTTAAAGCGTCCCACTTCGGTTGCTCGCTGGCGTGACAGCTGACAGACCGCCCTGCAGCTCCGCACACTTTCCATCAGATGCAGTGTTGTGGTCGAGTGAAATCAGTTGGAAAAAGTTGGGGTGGCGCTTCTCGCGTGACATTTTTATTTTTGTAAGCTTCACATCAGGCGTTATGATTATTTTACGCTTCGGTTTCAGGCCACCATCTCCCCCGCCTCCCAAAAAAAGAGCCTGTGGAACATTTTCCCCGTGGCAGGTGAACGTGATCTCAGGACTCCCAGGTGGCGCCTGGAGAGTCGAACATAAGACAAGAGTTGCACGAGTCATCCTGAGCTTTAGAGTCTCGCACGCAGGTACCGTGCGGCCCGAGAGCGATGCGACTGCGCAAGTCGCACGGAGGACCCCCCAGGGAACATTACGAGTACAGTAAGTGTTCTCGCGGACACCGGCTGTGGATTTGGGGAAAAATAAATTCCTCAGATTGATGTTCTGCGTGCTGCGCAGTGACCCCTCGGTTCACACAGCCGGCATTCCTGAGTCGCTGGAGGAAGGAATGTTAATTTCTTTCCAGCTTCGCTAATGCAACAAGCTCCTTTGTGCCGCACACATTCCCCTGACACGAGGAGCAGATTTGGCGTAGCGACAGCGGACGTTCAGAGCCACGGGCGATTTCTCTTTTTTGGCGAGAGGCAGGTTGGTACACTGTCGATACTGGCAAAACGAAAAAAAAAAGATTAGATCGAATGAAGCGTCCCACAGAAATCCCTCAATCAGCGCCTTTGTTACAAATCAAACAAAATGAGGAGGAAGGTGGCGAAAAAAAAGAAGAAAAAGATCTCGCGTGTGAGTCCAAAGACTAAGCTCTACTAAATTCACCCAGGGATGCAGTCGCCTTTATTAGAAAAAATAACCTTCCACAGGCAGAAATCAAATCAAACTCTGGATTTTTTCCGTATCACAAAGGAAACAAGTCTGATTCCCACCTGCAGGTCGCACTCTGCCTCTCGCAGGACGGCACAGGATCACCTCGCGTACGAAGGCTGGAAGGATGAAACCGGAGGCACAACCGTAATAATATGAGCTGTGCTTAAAGTGTCAACATACCTGTCATCATGTAGCACATGACGTGAACTTCATTAAAAAAGGTAAAGACAGCAGAATTCACTTTTTACCTTTTCTTTACAGGGAGTACGTTCAAAAGGCAGCTGGGGATGGATGATTGAGCTAAAAGGGATTTCATATGAAGCTCCATCTCACCGCAGGGCACAAAGGCCATTCCTCACAATGCATGGTCACAGATCCGGGACATTTATTATAATATTCAGATATTCAAGCGATTCATTACAGGAATGTGAATATTCACTCGCACATCCAGATAAGCTTTAATGCCGCTCTCAAATGATACTGTAATAAAAAATCAATGTAACAAACATGTATTAGAAGATGCAGGAAACCGTACTAGTTGTTGACATACGTCCCTGATCAGGGCTATTGATTATTCAGTGGTTACACATATGGTAATTTAGCCAGTAAAGCGACGTATGACCAGCCCGGTTCACAGGAGGCCTTTTTTTTTTTATTTTCAGGCACGTCGGTCTTGTGTCTTCACGCTGATCACAGGACATTTCTGAGCAGTCAGATCACTGTTTGTTTAGGGTTGAAACGTCTGTGTGTAGCTGCAGGAGGTCTGCGCTCGGTGTCGGGGCGAGACGAGAGCGCGCCCACCTGGAAGTACTTCTGCGGGGTCAAAGGTCGTGCTATTGAACCTATTGAGTGCCAAAATCTGTGTGTAAACAAAAAACACTGAGCGTAATGATGGTTTCACAGGAACAAAAAAGGAAAATGTCGCCTTTCTTTGTCACATTTACTCTTTCGGACTGAAAAGGTTGCAATTTTTAACAACTTTAATCCATTCTACCTGTTGACATTTTCAGATATGGAAAAGGTTGTATATTGTGTTTTAATACCAAATTGTATAGTTCACTTATGAATATAGTCGAAGGCCATCCAGATTTGAATCTAATAATAACAACAATAATGTTTGAGTCGCAGTCTCCAGTTAAAATATTTCAAACTTAGCTGCAGCATTATGAAATAAATGGGTAAATGTAAAAATGGGTAAAAAGAAAGTCTTAATTATAGCAGCACACATGTTCAGCATTAATCAGCATGCTCCCTGAAGAGCTGATCTAGCTGATGACTGATAATCAACACAATAGTCGTTTTGTTTAATTGCTTAGGTTTTATGCAAAATCAAAAACCAAAATCTAAAAAATTACGGTTTCATCTTCATACATAAAAATCGTTTCTGGCTTTCTCAGTCTCAGAAAATTTGTGAATCTTTTTCTTTAAGGTTGTTATTGAGGCAAAGAATTTGCCCTTTTAACGCGATTATCATGTTAGCTTTGCAGCGAAAAGTGTCGGGTTTTGGTTTGTTTTTCAAAATACGTTTCTGTGCGCGGACAGCACACATGGAATCGGATCCCTTCAATTTGGATGTGCAGTGCAGCATTTCTCACAGCAGCACGGTGCCTGTTGCCTTTAACAGCATCAGACTCTGATTCCTGACAGACCAAATATGAAGTTTGACTGATGGTTTACTTGAATTGAAACAATCAATGTAATCAATCACAGGCGAACCCATGATCTTCTGTCTTCGCTTTGACCTTGATGCCGCCAAGTTCTTCCACACAATAATAGGAAGCATTAAAAAGTGCGAATATCTGGAGAGGCATCTCCACAGAGGTCGTTTGTCATGCGGGCAGGAGCAAAGAGGCTGACATCTACAGGAAGGCATCTGCAGGGGAGGTTCCCTCGCATGAGCAGAGAAGAATAGGTGTCACTTTGTTTGGTCGCTCGGTTGTCAGGGTGTGGAGGATGCCAGCTAACCGCAGGCAGGACAAAGTTCCCGACTAACACACAACACCGGACACCGATGCCAACTGGGCCCGAACAATACGATGCCGGAGGGAGTGCAGGAAGACGTCTCCAACGAGAGACCGCGTCAACAGCAGCAGGACCACATTTCCCGCAGATCAAGACTCTTATCGTCTGTTGGGGGCGATAAGATAAGTTCCAAGAATCCATCCTCGGTGTTTTTCCCAAACAAGAAAGGGCAGATAAATCTCCAGGACCTGTGCTAAGTTTATGGAACGAGAAAAGGGTCACAACGTTTCTTTTTCCGTGTACCAAAGTCACGAAGACGCAAGCAGCCGTTTGACCAATGAGAGCATGAGTCCAGATCCGAACCAAGGTCACAGAACCATCTCGACGGGTATTTAGTCTATTCAGGGACTGCTCTTCAAAACATCCACGGCAGGAGGGTGGAGTAGAGTAAAGGGGGTGGGGGGGGGGGGGGGGGCTCCTTGGTTTTTTGCGTTTTGCTTATTGAGGCATGCCAGACATTCCCCTCCACTGGATGTGTGTTTGTGTGCATGCTCTGACCTGAGCACGGACGTCTACACAACATGCGAGTTCACCTCCGCCAAATTCCAAACACTTGTAGCGACCACGAGCCAAAACAACGGGATGATTTCCTGTTTTGTTCTCGGCCCTTTTGAAAGGAGAGACTCCCACCTTTCCACCCCTCACCTACAGGCCCCCCCCCACAATCAGACACACAGAGCCTTCAGTTCATAAGAAAGGGATGGAAAGTCTGCAGAGGAAAGCTGAAAAGCCTTTCAAGTCTCAATCAGTAAGAAGTTTTCCATTTTAAACGGTTTCTCTGCGAGTTTGTCGGTGACAAAAGGCTCCGTAACATCTGAACTACCGGCTCCAAGACACGCCGCTGGGCTTCCTGCTGTGGGCTCCGGACCTTCCTCAGTGGTGCTGACGCTACTGAAGACAGAAGGTACAACGCTGCTAATGGGAATAATGATGATAAATCCTAAAATGGCTTTGGCTTTGGGATTGTGTTTAGGACACAGAATGCTTAGCTGGCCATGATGGTCCCCCACTGCCTTTGGGGGAGAGGTGCCTTATGCCGTGCTTTATTTTTCTTGACAAAAACACTTCCACAGTTCTCTTCCTTTTGATTTACCGGAACGTTAAAAAGGGCGGTGATGTTGCTCGGGGAAGAACGCAGCTTCGATTAATAACAGGCATCAGCCAAACATCCCACCTTCAGGTTATAATCTACGGTTCAGACCGCCCTGTAATTTAGCATACCATCATTTATGCAAATTATTTTTTTAAAGTAATTTTAGTTCGACAGATGGCTGCATGTACATTTGCCAGCAAATGATCGGCCAGTCTGCTTTTGTTTACGTTTTTCCACAAACTACCATGAATTTAACAACACAATGTTTGCAAAGTGTGGCGACAACAAGAAACGGGGGCGCGGCTTAAACAACTGGTACCAAATGTAGACAGTCAACTACAAAACAATCACTACAAGTCACGCGTTGAGACGCCCGTCACAGCCTGTTCAACTTTTCCTGTTTAACTTGTGCTTTTATGATGCCGGCTTACGTAAGACGCCGTTAAGTCATTTAATCTAATTAATTAAGACCTGAAAACAGACAGCTGTCAAAACAAGGAGGGAAGTCCTTCGGTGTTTTTAGAAACATAAGAATCAGGACGGTGACATTTTTAGAGCAACACATGCTGTAAATAAACAGGGAGAGGGGTGAGAGGAGGGGGGGGCTCTTTTATTGCAACAGTTGATTGTTCTCAGAGCCAAAACAACGCACGCTCAAGCCACTGTCGACTGGCATTGTGATAACAAACAATCCGTAGTTTCTGCTTTCATACAATCCAAATTGTCGGTCGGTTTAAAAAAAAAAAAAAAAACGGCGGGTGCTCGGGCCTCGACCCGATTTGGGCGCGAGCACCTGCCTGCGCGCCGGGACCGCAATAACAGGAACCTCGGAGTGGCTCCTGCAGCGCTGCAGATAAGGGCCACGCGAGCCGCGGAGGGACAGAAGAAGTCCCAGCAGTGAATAGCGGGTAATACTCAGCCCCTCCAGACAATATGCTGGGAGGACGCCGCCAAGATGCTGACAAATCAACACGCCGGCCTCTACGGCCGCGCTGCGTGCATCCTGGAATTACTGCTTGTTCTTTTAAAAGACAATGCCAGGGCTGAAGATTACAGGGAGGATTTGTCTCCCTAAGTGACATGTTCTCCCCCTGTATGCCCTTCAGACTGCTCCGGCCTCCTGGAAAATGTGACGCCAATTCAGGAATGCTGCTCGCTGCGAATGCGAACCCCCGCACAAGCCCTGCAGGAAGTCGTAGTAAAAAAGAAAAAGTGATGTGATGGAAGCCGATTGCTTTCTCGGGGTAAGAATGTTATGTAAATACTAACCAGTATCTCAAAAACAAACTCTCTTATCACCTTTTATCATCAGCGAGCTGAGAAGGCGCGAGGAAGGGAGTGTTATGCAATTCAAATTTCCCCAGTGAAACGAGGTCAGGCGTTGCAGTTATTGATTCTCTTGTTTTCAGAGTTACATGCTGTGGCCGAGCTCCGGCTCACAAACTGCAGAGGTGCATGTAGACGACACACGCCGTGATTACAGAAGCAAAAAGGAACCGGTTCTTTTGAAGGATGTACTTGTCATAAACAAGCCTGCGGTCCGCACCGACTTGCGTTGGAAGGCCTTGCCGTCATCTGCCGCTTCAGATTAATCTTTTGGAATACAGATACGGCCTCTGGCACACAAAGACTTTTCTCGCTGCATAAAAACATCACAACTGGGGGCGAAAGACACAGCGGGTATATCTGGAAATTGCTGGAACGTGAATATAAACATCAATTAACACACCGTTACAGCAGAGTTTGGGATTTGTGGTCTGAATGCTAAAATTGTGGAGACATGCAGTGAAAATCCCTCTGAATTGAAATATGATTAACATTTAGCTGTGAACACTTAAGGAAATGTAATTGTTCCTCGGATAATGCTTGCAGACCAATTTCTACCCAGTAAGTAGCAATGTCCCAGATGTGCCCTCTCTTTATCCAGATGTCTGTTATCACATTATTTACTGTAATCTTCAGTTATAATTAATAGCAATTAATGTCAGCAAATTATTTGACCTACACGGTCACTTCTCTTTGTCATCATGCTGCTAAAGTGCAGTTTTCTCCAGTGCGATCAACATATTGTTCCCTGACTTATTGAGTACAAACTTTCACGGCTTTTAGAGAAATCCATAAACCTTTGACTGTCTCTGTGAGTGTTCAAATAGGATGGACCCTTCGGTAAGGCCGTTGGTGCCGCCGGGCCTCCCAGGACATTTTGTCTGTTCCGTCCACATTTGTTTTTGTCTTAACGATTTGAACACACGTATCCGCATTTCCCTCAGACATATTTGGTTCGAATGACCTGAATAGGTGACATTACGCAGCAAAGTGATGGCAACTTTAGTGTAACTACTTCTTGAACAGATTCCAGAGGAGATTTTTGTCCTGAAAAATGCCAGCCGGCGTGACCCAGCACGTTAACTCGGCACATCTTTATTTCAGTGTTCTATTAAAGGTTACGGAGACGTGGAATAAAAGCACAATGTGACTGACGTCTGTAATATAATAGAGAAGCCTCTATTTAAATCCTGAACAAAGCCAGTCATCAAGCTGGTGAGAATCTCTGAACTATGGACGCCCTGAGGAGGAAACGCATTCTCACCACTCCTCCCGGAGGACTTCCCAGCCACGCAAAACAAGTTAACGTCAGTTAATGTCAGCGCTCAAAGGGCTTCAAATGAAGGCCTTCAAAGAATTCAAGAAGCAAAAATGGAAAAAGTAGAAATTGGGAGAACCTAAAGTCTTGTGACACTCGCCCACAGTGGGCCTTTCCACCACTTTCCTGCTGCGCCGTTCTCACTCTGTGGTTTTTCTACCCTTCGCTGGTTATTCAGGTCCGACCAGAACACCCACACAAGTTCATCATCGACGACTCGGTGTTATTATCATCGGCAGACAAGTTCTGTCAAACGACCTTTGATCTGACTGCTACTGTATTTCTCATTTGGATTACGTGAAATGTGTTGCTATGGGGGAAAAGGTGCTTCACAACAAAACACACCCTCCTAATGGTGAGTAACTATGGCCTCAGGTGGAGTTCAGGCCCAGCCTGAGCTCGGGAGGGAATAAACCTCAAAGTGAGAATGTAGACATCAGTTGTCTTAATGGTTTGAACATATGGAATCTTTCCACAAAAGGTTCAACTTTGACGTCAATAATTGCTCCATTTCACTGCAATATTGCACGCATGTCATCTCGTCACTTTGCTTTGCAATGTTTAGCAAATACATAAGCTCAGAGTGCAACCTTTTAATGAGGAAAAACAAAATGTGCAAATAATGCAGTTAATAATGTTGCTAGATAGCAGATAAGTATTGTATCTGCAGAAACTTAACAAAATACAACGGCCTTTTTTTGGATTATGGTATTTGGATCTTGTCAAGTAGATTTAACACAAATATCAGATTTGACAAAACCCCAATCTTAGTAACAACAGTAACACATTTGACTTTACCTTTAACTACAATGAATGTTGATCAGTATTTAGCAGTCAATGCAGTTCACCCCACTTATATTAACTTTAACTTAACGGATATGTACACATGTGGACAAAATTGTTGCTACCCGTCTGTTGGAAGAAAGAAAACCGGCAATGGTCACTGAAAAAAACAATAGTAATAATATATAAAAATATGGAAAGTTTACTAACAAAAATCAGACACTGCTTTTGAATATTTGTTCAACAGAATCATTAAAGAAATAATTATAACGATATTTGCCTGGACAAAAGTGCTGGTACCAAAACTGATTTGACCAAAGGGACAAACTAAGGTGAAATTTGCATTACAGGTGTCAGTCTGCCCATAGGGTGAAAAAAAGCAGTGACTGTGCTGCCTGGTATCATGGCGTGTACCTCACTGAACGTGGACCACAGAAAGCTAAGGAGAGAGTTCAGAAGAAAATGATAGAGCTGCATGTAAAAGGTAAAAGGCTGTAAGACCGTCTCCAAGCCGCCCGACGTTTCCAGGACTACAGTTGCACAGGACTGCTGCCAACCTCTGGATGCGGCCGAAAGAGGAAAATTGATGACAAATAATACGAATGGTAACCAAAGAGCCCTGAACTACTTCCAGAGACTAAAGGTGGACTCCAAGTTTCAGGTAGTCAGTGTCAGATTGCATCATCCGTCGCTGTTTGAGCCAAAGTGGAAGACAACCGAGGAGGAGGACACCACTGTCGAAAACAAATCATAAAAAAGCGAGATTGGCATTTCTTAAAATGCATATTGATGAGCCACAAAGCTTCTGGAAGAAGGTCCTTTGGACGAATGAGACAAAACTGGAGCTTTTTGGCAAGTCACATCAGCTTAATGTTCACAGACGCAGACGGGTCCTCCAACAGGATGATGACCCAGTCCTGAAGTGGCTCCTATGAGCCCTGAGCTAAACCTAGTGAACATCTGAACGGCGCTGCAACACGCAGTCTGGAGAAGGCCCCCTTCAAACCGGAGACAGCTGGAGCGGTTTGCTCACGAGGAGTGGGCCAAAACCTGTTGACACGTGTAGGAGTCTCATTGAGTTACAGAAATCGCTTGAATGCAGCGGAGAGTAAATATCAAGTTTAGGGTGAAATTTCGTTTCCGTCCTGCCCATTTGTCTCATGAATTCTGTTGAACCAAAATTCTAAAGCAATGTCTGGTTTTCCATAGTTAGTTTTCCATACATTTGTATTTATTATTACTTTTGACCATCTAAATGATTATTATAATCTAATTTAAAATCCATAAAGACGAAGGCCTCAACATTTGGAGAAGCCATCTTCATCGGGGTTATTACCGGAGGAGCAGCTTTTATCAGACCTCTTATTACTCCACACAGGTAGGACCACACCGCAAGTACACCTACAACGCAAGTTACTTTGTGTTTGAGGGTTGTAATTATCAAGGTCATCCTGGAATCAAGCGTCGGCAAAGTATTCTGATGTTTTTACTCAGAAGCCGAAGGTGCAGTTTCAGGTTAAATATATCAGGATCTCACCGAACATCTGCATCCAATTTCTTTTTTGTTTCTATTCAAATTCCATCCTTAATTTTGCAACCGGCTGTGGACACAAGCTGACAAAACCATTTTCCTGATGAAGATTGCGATATGACTGAAGACTCCAGCCTAAAGGCACTAAAGTGACTTTTTTAATGAGATTATTTTGTGAACTGCTGGAGCCCAAATGGAGAACTCATTCTGGATCAGATTGATTTTAGGTTCCGGACCCACTAACCAAAGCACCGGGGTTACATTTAATAAAGTCGGTCCTGGATTCCTTCGTGAGTTCTTACATGCACTTCTTAATCTGCATTAATCTCTACACACATCTGCACCTCTAATAAAAATCCATTTGGGAGCTCTGAGACAAATCGGGTCCGTGTCTGCTGCTCACATCCCTCCGTGCGCGCACAGTACACGCTGCTCCATTAACAACATCGCGTGCCGGCAGTTTTCCTTTCCCCGAGTCTCACGCCATGACATCACAGGGTTTAACATATTCAGTGTTACAGAGCGGCTTGCTTGCTTGTCGGACTGACAGCCAGGGACATTAAGCAGCATTCCTCACATGCCGCCCTGCTGGTGGAAAGCAGTTAGAAGATCACAACATTTTTGTGTGAAGCCTGATGAGGGCGGAGGGGGGGGAAGAGGCTCAGAGGGGATTTGGGTGATCGCGTTAAAGCCAATGAACGGCGTGCCACGTTAAATAATATGCAACATCGAAAACCTTCATGCGTTTCCCTCTGTTTCGACATGTCAGCCTGGTGCTCAGCGCTTTGCCCTCTGGCACAGTTCCATCTCATTCCACGGCGGCTTGACTCATGTCTAATTAAAGTAAAAAGGTATGTAAAGGTAATAATACTTCTGACTGCAGTGATGCGTGCCAGAGAGGTTCCCCATTGTGAGAACACTCAAAACGATTCCTAGTAAAAAGGTAATTGGCACAATTCAATCTTTCATCTCATCCTCAACCGCTTATCCGGGGTCGGGTTGCGGGGGCAACAGCTCCAGCAGGGGACCCCAAGCTTCCCTCTCAACGGGCCACATCGACCAGCTCTGGCCCCCAAACCACCTCAACTGGCTCCTTTCTACGCGAAGGGAGTAGCGGCTCTACTCCGAGCTGCCCACCCGATCTCTAAGGGAGACGTCAGCCACCCTCCCATGAGGAGACCCATTTCAGCCGCTTTTACCTAGTTCTTTGGGTTTTGACCCATCCTTCTTAACCATGGGTGAGGGTATGAACGTAGATCGAGAGCTTTGCCTTCCTGCTCAGCCCGGGTTTTTGTTACAACGGAGCGATCGCCCCCGCTGTTCCAAATCTCAGGCCAAACTCACACTCCAGCTCCCTCTTACACGTGAACAAAGAACTTGAACTCCTTCACTTGAGGTAAGGACACATGGCCTCAATTAAATACAGACTTTTTATTAACTTATTCAATTACCATGTTTTTATTTTACAATTGTGATTGTTCAATAGCTTTAACCGGACTGCAAAAGCGGTCTGTTGAAGTGCATCACATCAATCACCACAGTGCAGATTGAGAGCTTGCAACATAACAATTATATCAAAAGTTGACAGATAATAGTAGTCATCTCAAATCTGCATTTCTATGTTGTTATTATTTTGGTACCGGAGACAGTAGAGACGGCAAGTTGGGAAAAAAAAGGAACGTCAATACATTCCTGTAGCATTAAAAGGTTGTTGGTGAATGTTTGGGATCGGTCGTGTAGGGGCAGATAACAACTGGATCGCCTGAAGATCAGAGCACAACGCCGACCTCGGCGAGACGCGTGTATTCGGCACGCTATCAGATACCGCTCGTCCAAAAAGGCGTGAAAACTCCTCTGCATGACGAGAGAGGTAAGGAAAAGTGTCACGAATACCCTCATCGTCGCTTGAATGTGACCGATTCGTCCACCAAATGTCAATTGTCAGCAGCGTGGCGACATGACCAAAGAATTAACTGAAGTGAGGGAGCCGTACTAAACAGGAAAGAAAATATCTCTAAGACGTAAATGTTAATTCCTCGGATTCCTCTTTAGATTTCTGAACTAATGCACTGAGCTACCGTGTTTACAGGCAGCAGACGTAGCGTTTAGGCTGCTGGTATCTGGGCGGGTGGAGGCCTTCCTGACACATGAGGTCACGGACCGCCACCTCTGTCCGTTATCTCATCTTCATCCCATGAGGGTATGAGGGCTCGTAACATCCACCCTCTGCTTTCAAAGCTAACGTTAGGTTTCAAGATACCCGCCGGCGGAGTGTAAAAAACAGTCATCTAAATATGATGTAAAAACAGAAATTGCTACAAAAAAAAATGTTTAAAAAAACCCTGACCGGTCCTTAGACGTCCTTACAAAGGACTGTAGCCGGTTTGATTTGGGGGAAGTGCAGGAAGCCGAAGTGAATGCGTCCCTGCGGGGTCGCTGTATACCCAGGAGAGCCTGCTGGCTTTCCTTCTTTCTAACAAAGCAGGATGAAAGTCGGGCCAGGACCGTCGAGATGGAAGCCGACAAATGGCCACTGTTCTGCCTGCAAGAATGTCAGTGTTTCCCATTATAACAGCCCCCCCTCCCGAAAGAGTCTGGAAATAAACAAATTTGATTTTTGGGGTTTTTTCCTTCCCTCGCAGGCCAGTTACACAGACACATGCGCAAATGGGCGCACCCCCCCTCAGTCAGCCAACCAAAGCCCCCCCTGTGAAGTTGTGAACCCTGGGAACCACTGCATGTGGTTATGATGCAAACCAAGCTCTCCACAGCCTGCATCAGGGTGCTCAGGTCTAAAGGCCTCAGTGTTACTAGAACTCTAGAACTGTACTTCCTCCTCTCATGGTTTCCATCTAAGCAACACAACAAATATGTTCTTGGAAGTTCATCTAACAGGCAAACACTAGGCAAATGTTCAATGCAAAGTCCATAGAAACACAAGTGTTGTGAACCGTTTATAATAAATACATATAAATACATTTATACAGCAAATTAAGATTGAATAGCAGCTACAGCCACTATAAGTGCTGATTTACATTCACAAAGACATCAGGCAGAGGTGCCCTACTTTAAGTGACAACTTGCTAACTGATGCCAACATGATCCAACGCTCTTTTACTCCACAACTATCCAAGCATGACATGCGCCAGCTGAGCACCGTGTTTTTCGAGTGGCCATGGCAACGCGGAATGACTGATTGAGCCGCGCGGGCAGGAAGTGCGGCGAGGACAACAGGATGTGCCCTGGCTCCGCCGTCGAGGGTCGAAGAATTCAAGGAAGTTATTGTACTTTGTGGAATGGGTTTAGGAATGCAAGATGTCTGCCATTTTTTGGGGGCCTTTTGAGGTCGGCGTCGTATGACATGCTGGAGGTCGACAGGCTTTGATGATAGCGTGGCCCCCGTGTGATACATGTGCATCAGCGTGCTGGTCACCCACCTTGCCTCTCCCATGCAGGTCTCACAGGCAGCGAGTCGGCCGGTGGGCTCGAGATGTTTGCGAGGTGGATGGGAAGCTTGTCACCTGAAAATGAAAAAGAGCAGATGACAAATGTGGACCTTAGAACCTCACTGGAAGGTGGTTATCAGCAAACTGTGAGGTGGTGGATGCAGAGCTTCAAGATAAAATAAACAACAATGTGAAAGCAGGAACCTCAATGTTCCCCTGAAGCCGCTTGAGCTTTGGCCTGAACGAGGTTTCCCTATATACTCCATATGCGCAAAAGAAACATTTCCCTAATGCACTAATTTCCCAAAACAAATGCAGGAAAGAGGCAGCACTTGAGTGCAATGGAAGGGAAAATAAACACTGCATATCTTCAGCTTCACCTTAATCTACTGAAGCTTTGTTGAGGCAAATGTTCCAACCAGGAACTGAACTATTGCATCAAATGGGATAAAGGACTGTATTGGGAAATTGATCAAATTATATATATATATATATATATATATATATATATCCAGTATGCGCACAATATTTTCCCACATCTGCATATGAACACATTTAGGGAATTTACTGTGGTGGTAAACTTTGAAGTGAGAAAGTTTGACACAAACGTCTGTTACGCTGCTCAAGATTTTACGTGTTTTCTCGTAGTAAATGATGCATCATTGGCTTTTATGCAACCATTATTTCTTTAATAGCCCGTGTTGATGCAGATCCCGACCAATCACCCTCAACTCAGCAATATAAATAAACTTAACAACATGAAGGCCGACTTATCTTTCACCATATTGCAGGTGGCAATCTTGACTTGATTGGTGGACGTGTTCATAACTACCGCCGCTCTGCACTGCAAACTGAATCAGTCATTGAATCTGCTCCCTGCACTAAATCCCTTTCTGGGAGAAGACCTTTACCAAAGCGGAGCTCTTAATCCCGGCTCTCCTCTCCAGCCTGTGGCGTCTCTTTCCACTTTTCCTGCAGACGGATGATGTATCCGGTAGCCTGACAGTCTTAACTCGCCCGGCGGTTTTGATCCTGTGTTAGCGACACCAACCCCTAATTGTCCGTCCGTCCCGCAGACCGTGCTGTGGACGTTTCTGTTGTGACAGCCCCTCTCCCAGACGCGTGGATGGAGCTGTCCTCCCACGGGTCACAGGTCAGCGAGGTCATGGGTTAACACCACAGGCTGCTCTCTGACAACAAACAAGTAGTCCCAAACCCCCAAAGCAGGGGCTCAAAGGCTTCACTTTCTGGTCCTGTATTCGCACCCCGAACACGCAGCGAACCGCGTCGACCGTCGATGTCTCTTCTGAGGCCGCCTTGTGGAGTCCATGTACGCCTCGTCGTTCAGGAGAGAAATCTCCCCTCCGTGTTGCCATCTACTCTATTGCATCCGCTCGATCTGCACACCGTAAACAGCAAGCAATGGGGTGAAGCCGACGGTGGCTAGTGGGGAGGGGGGGGGGATCAAATGTTTGCTCAGTGCTGAAAGCTACGTTCTGCCTGTGGGATCAGGGTGTCTGTTTGTGTGCCTGAAGGTGTAGTAGCTGTATGTCGTCCCCCGCTGATGATGTGTTCTTCAATGGAAAGGTTAACAGGTTTGACCCCGCACCCCCCCCACCCATCCACGGTTGGCCAACACATAAACATACAAGACGCCGGGAGGGAAGACATGCAGTAACTTCAACTGATACAAAAATAAATATTGGATACAAAAGGAAATGCTGGATAAAAAAGGATAGAAGTTAATAGAACGGTTGATCTATAATGAATTCATAGAACAGCTAACAGATGAAAAAACAATGCAGTCAAACATTCCACCACATTCACATGCCAGTGATACTGATGATTTTAATGGGTAGACCCTCCATTATTTGATTAACTGGTTTGTTCAGAAGTGACAATGCGAATTAAAAATAACACACAGAACCAACAGTAACATGAATATATATATATATATATATATATATATATATATATATATTATATATATATATATATATTCAAGTATTTGGATTAATGATGAAGAAAATAAGCCATTTGGTTAGAGTAGGAAAGGGAGATGTTTTAGCATTATTTCCAAAAAATAACTTAATATGAAAATGAATAAATTTATAAATTAATTGTTTGAGCTATATGAAGGACCACCCTTTGACAACATGTTTTATCTGGCTTTGTGTGAACTTCTAACAGTAAATATGAAGTGCAAATAAACATGACGAGAATAGGGATACGTTTTTGGGACCCTGACTTCCCCCTTAAAGGCCCCTGGATCTTCAGTAACATCCCAGTCACACTGGTCAATCGCTTCACAGGATTTGTGGGAATTTATTTGGCCTCTACTATTGGTTTATTTCTGACCCAAACTGTAGCACACGGTCTATACAGGGTGGGGGCTAACTAATCTGTCACCCAAGGATTTAATACCAGTCAGAGTAGAGAAGCAAAGGATCGCTGCAGGGGAGAAACACCCGAATCACGTGCATCGACTGCCCTCTAGCGGGGAGTCCTGTCGGACATCAGCCAGATGGTCCACATTTAGTTATATAAAGCCTTTTAAGCACATTCTAGATGCCCTTATGCAACTGTTAATAATAATAATAATAATAATAAAAAATAATAATAATAATAATAACAGCAATATCCCTCAATAGCAAGCATCAATAGCAAGGTGGAGCACGATACGGTGAATCAGCTAAGCTAGCGGCAGTTAGCATAAGCAGCTCACAGCTGTGTTACCTGTGCTCTCTCCTCGGGGGGCGACAGGTGGGCTCGGACGAACAATTATTTCAATCACGTTTTCAAACTCTTCCGCTTTGGCTGTTCTATTTGTAGTCCTGCTTGTTTGTTTGTTCATGCGTTTGTCAGTTAGCACGCTGTTTAAGGAAGACTAAAGCTAAATGCTCGCGCTAAGGTAATTAACCTCTGACCGCGCGGTCACGGCCGCGGGAACGCGCCTCCTCTGGACTCCGCTTCCTTATAATATTCTCTCATCAACGAGGTTTCGTGACGTGAAAAGTTATATATTTCTATATCCTTCATGTTTTTGAACGTTCTAAGTAAATATAAATCATGATCAATGTATCCTCATTATTATTTTAAACCTACCACACGAATGGTAATTATGGTATCATGGTAATCACATAGTCGAGTTGTCCACTAGAGCGCAGTATTACTGCATGTATGTGCGTTAATATTCGGCCATAAAGACTACAAGCAGTTATAATTCTTTCAAACAGAAGCAACCAGTCTTAAATCATTCATAAATGTGTGTTGCCTACTTGGGATCTCAGTTTTGAAAATGTATACTTTGTTTATATGTTGATGTTTATACCTTATAAAGTCTGTACTGTCCATCAAAAGTAACAACGGATTGGAGGAGAGGAGTCACCAACCCTGGAACAGTGATGATCGGTGATCGGTGTATCAGGGACATCCATCAAATCATCACTGTGTAATCCCACGGTGGCGTGCATCGCCTCTCCCCTCTGCGTCGCATCTTTAAGATTGAGATTAGAGGGCCGGGCGAGTCAGAGAGACGCATCATCAGGTGAACCAGTCTGACTGCGGCAGCCACGGCTGAGATTATTGTTTCCCGTCCCTGGCCTCAATATGGTCTGTTCCCTCCCTCTCGTTCCCCTTTTCCCCGTCATCTCTCACCTCTCTCCCTCCCTCTACTGAGAGAGACGCGCAGCATCAGAAAGGAAGCAAAAAACACAGAAAAATGCTTATGGTATTTAGTTATGTCTGCAGCACACGCATCTCCCCTCTCAGGATCAGTAAAGGCTCATCTTATTGTATATCTAATATATATATCAAAACAAAGCAGCAGTTTCCATGTGCTGACGTTTCTGTAGTTGTAGACAGAAATATAGCATTGATATCTATGAAGTAAGACGTGTACAGTATATGCATGTATACATGTCCGAACTGGAGGATATGCATACATCAAACATGTCAAAAGCGGGCTGATTATTCTAAACTGAAGGAATATCATTTATAATTTGTAGACGTTTCAGTGTTACAGGGACATCGATACTACATATGTGACTTCATAAACCGTCCAATTGAATGCAAATGAAGTGAATCTGCAGCTATTCAGAACGACAGAATCTATTATTACACCTTGGAAACACAAACATGAATCAGCAGCTCCTTCTTTCATTTCAGTGCATTCATGCTGCTGTGTTAAATCATTTTTTTCTAAGAAGTGAAATAAGATCTGTGGGTGTGTGATAAACAGCCAAGACGGGTCCACTGCGCTTTTGATGTGCAGAAGTGTCAGTGATGAGCTGTCAGGCCTCATTTATAAGCCCTGGTTAAAAAAAAAAAAAGCAAGCAGGAAACAATTAGTTTTATCGACAGCACCGGTCATCTTCTTTTACTGACGAATGTGGGACACGACGATACAAATCGCAATTACATAATGCAACAAGGTCAAAAAACAGAAAAAAATACCAAAATGACACTTATGAGGTAAAAAAATTAAGTTTTGTGTGACGGAATGATCACCTGCGTCCGTCCTTATGACCATTATGTTGGAACAAGTGTGATTATCTCTGCTGGGAGTCATTAATATATCCTCAAACATCTGTTGACTCAATTTGTCATTCGTGCACTTTTTATCTCAAGATCTAAAAAACTTAATGTCAAAAAGGGGATTATGAGGAACCCAACAGCCTTCGGGGCTCCTGTTTCCTGTTTCAGGTCTCTTGCTGTAAAGTGGGGATGTGCACGTGTGTGTGTGTGTGTGTGTGTGTGTGTGTGTGTGTGTGTGTGTGTATGTGTGTGTGTGTGTGGTGGTGGGGGGGTCATCGGGGGACTAGACTGACACCTCTTTTCATCGCCGTCAGTGTATCCGGCTCGGCCTTCGAGGGAGATGCAGAGAAGTCCTGCAGCTGTTGGTGGGAGAACCAGAGCCGGGTGTGTGTGTGTGTGTGTGTGTGTGTGTGTGTGTGTGTGTTGAATGAGGAGATCTCGCCTATACAGCTCGGCCGGCCAATCAGCCGGCTCATGCTGACGTAGAGACACCTAAAGACAAAGATGGGTTTATGGAGGAGACTGTCTCAGCTTGTTGTGTGTGCGTCTTTGGTGCTGAAACTCATTCTGTGTTTCAATCGGCTTCAAACTAAAGACTCATTTTATGATGTCTAAGTTCATAGCAAATGTGCTCATGTGTCAAATATCTCAAATCTACTGGTCTAATGTTTATTTTCTTCGTGGATGAATGTTGATTTCAGATTGTTGTTTTTTTCTTTTTGGTCAGAAAAGTTTCCATGGCCTTTGAGCATATTCCATCCTTTTTACTCGCGTAATGCTTTATCGTAATTGTGCAAATGACAAAAACAAACAAGAGATTCTCTCAAATGTTGTGGTTTGGTGGTTTATTTGCACGTCTGCCGTCTGTCGATCTCCGGACGGAGGACAATACGGCCGCTGTGGCGGAATTTACTGCAGTTGCGTTTATTTTGGGACCTGAAAGAAGAGTGCAAAGTAAAAGAGATATTATCTTACTCCCAGATCAAGGCCAAGGCGAGTGTTGATTGGACCAGCTGGCAGACTGGATTTGTGTTATTCTGAACAATCTGCACCGTTGAACCAGCAACGCGATCTGTTCCACGTGTTTCTTTTTTTTTAGAAGTACTTACTGTGACAAAAATACTTACTTACTTACTTTTACACATTTCTCTCTCTGCATTTACGTCTTTTTCGGCTATTTTCTGCATGACACCACCCTTCTTATCTTGTCCGTCTTATTTGTGTGTTTATTCTACGGTTTCCCATAATTTCCAATCTTCCCGAGATGCAATCACAGCGTTTTCCCTCTCGTCCTGCCCAGTCCAAGTGGGCATCGCCGTCACTGCACAAGTGAAGACCCTGGAGTCTTTGTGATGACCAGTGACACGGTTGGCTCTTTCTACTCGGCAATAATTCACTTTCATATTTTTGTGCAGGCAAGTTTCTAATCAAAATTGCAACCACTCAATGTCACTTTTTGTCTGACAACCCAAAGTTTTTTTTTTTATCAATAGCTGATATATAAATGACCTTTGAAGCATCAATAATTCATTTATTGAGTGCTGATTAAGCCATTAGTTAAACGTATGAACTTGTGAACCACAGCACTGACTCAAATGTATCCAAATATAGCACGAGGCCAAGAGCCTCGAGACACACGTGTATTCATGATCACATGCTATATTTATGATAGTATATCCTGTCAACATCAGTACACTGAATACATTCGATTGACGGAAGACAGGATGTCATCTTTTACCCCCCCTCATCCAACACCTTTGCACCTGATCCTTTCACAGCAGCTTCGGCTGCTCCATCAACTACAACATCGATGGATTGTTGTATAATAAGACCCACGTGACGCAGGCTCGCAGAGACACCCTGCCCCCCCCCCGCCCTCTATCAGCTACCAGGCAGGTGTGTGAGCAGCTCACCAGTCTCACATGTGCATTCCGCCCCGTGTGCGGTCTACGCCGCTGAGGGCGTTTCTCAGACAAGTGCTACTTTGTGCAGAGCCGTTGAAGAGATTTGTGCAACATTTGACTCAACAAACAGCAAATACAAAACCGCTGCCACTGCACTTCTGGCCTAACATAGCAGCACTGAGATGAAAGGTCAGCGGGACGCTACTGTCCCAGTGGGAAGCTCGCCCTGATAGCCACAGCGTGCCGGGTATGAAATCCCTGCAAAGCGACAACAAATACATTTATCCGTCAATAGACTTAATTAGACTGGTATCCAACACGGCACCTTCCTCGGGCCACTCACCATTATTCTTTCCACACATTTCATCAACACAAGGGTCAAAGCAACCACTCTGACCTTAGGGCAGGTGTTTTTAATTGTAATTCTTGGAACAATTTTCATTTCTTTGATACAAATGTTATAGGAGTACTTTTTTTCAGAGTCGATTATGAGCCCCCACCAGTGGAAATGTTTTCTAGGATGGTTTATGTAGAGTTTATGTATCTTTGTGTGTTCCACGTTTTCTTTATTTAAAATCAGGGCCGTCATTCAGCCAAACGGCCGGTGGTTTGATCCCGGTCTCTGTCTATAGTTCATCATCATCTGTCCTTAGGAAAGACACTTCAACCCAAAAGACAGTTGGAATTAATAGGTGTGAATGTTTAGATAAATGACACAATATGAGTCAGTAATGGGTGAATGAGGACATGCACAATGCCACAGCCTTTAAATGCTTGAAGAACTGAGCGCTGCAGGCCATTACCATCGACCCATACGATGTGGTCGTAGCAGTGAAAGAAAAAGTAAATTATATTTGTGAAATGTTTTTTTTTTAAATCTAATTTTCTAGTCTTATTATATCAAATTCACATAACAAGACGAATACGCATTCGTTGTATTTGCATTGCTCTCTATTATCCTTATCTGTTTTATCATAGGGTGCGCGTGCGCGCGTGTGCGTTCCCCCGTTAGGAGGAGCCAGTGTCGCGCGAGGAGCCGCTGTGCGCGCGCTCACTGGCTGCTCAGCCGCTGACGTGAAGGGAGCACCGGGACCGATCGCCGGTCAGTGCGCGACGCGCGGACACCGAGACGCGGAACGAGATGATGGAATGCATCGAAGGGACTCCGACTCGGTGAAAGTTTGCACCTCGGACATGGAGACACTAACGAGAAGGCAACTAATCACGAATATCGCCGTCGTCCCCGCCTGAGGGTCCGAGGTGCCGCGGAGGATGACACCCGCACCCCGCCTGGCGAGGACCCCCGCGTCGCCCCCCGCTTCCACAGCTCCGTGAAGAAGTTGGTCAAATCCTCAGCGTGCGACTCTTTATTTGCGCCTCCAATCCCGCAGAACAGATCGCGACCTCTGGGCACGTCGGCCGCGGCTGCAGAAACAGCGCGTTTCTTCTGCGCTCATTCTAGTTTTTGCACCACTGCTGGCTGCGGAAATAAAAGGAATCATCTCGCATCCGGACATCTCTCAGGTGAGCAACACCAGGTAGCAGTGGTGAGAATAACTGTTAAGATTCATGTTTATTGAGGGTGTTTTTATTTTTTATTTTTTTTATAAATGTGCGTAAAAGTGCAAGAAGCTGTTATTTACGCACTATTTAGCACCTCAGGTCCTGAGTTTAGTCATTAAGCAGACAGATCAGAGTCCTTATAATAGTTTTAAATCCTGGAATCTTTGCCGGGTTCAGAGAAGAGTAGCTCGTAGATTAAATCGGGCTGTTGATCAAACCCTTAAAACCGCACTGCATGCGTCCATGCGCATGTGCTCTGTCTGACACCAGACTGTATTCCAATGACATAATGAATGCACATTTTGCAGTCTAATGTTTTGGTTATCTTTGGAAACTCCTCTATAAATTAGAATAAAGCAGGTTGGTTTTTAATCGCGTCTGGCTGCACAGCAGGAGTCCTTTAATGGCCCGGAGCAGCCGTTGAGAGGTTAATATGATTAATATAATGTTGATAAATCTCTGTTCATTAAAATAATCTCCCGTGTGTTTTAATGTTGTAGGTCTCGGGCGACATGTCTGCGCTCATCTCTTATCTGCTGGATATCAAGGTATAAAAAGAGAGCTCAAAGGCGTACCCTGTCCACCAAGCAGCGGCGAGGCGGCACAAGCCGCAGAGCTCCGTCCCACCATGGGCGCCGTGCTCTCGCTGTCCCCAGGCTCTCGAAAGTCGGGCTACTATGAGTCGGGCTCGCTCAGCCACTACCCGAGCATCAGCAGCCGCTCCCTCAACAGTCAGAAGGACCGCGGGCTGAAGAGGGGCCAGTCCATCTTCCTCCCGGCGCTCACGTGGAAGCGGCTGGTGGCCTCCACAAAAAAGAAGGGCAACCCCAAGAAAGGCGCTCACGGGGGGCTCGGGGACCCTCTCAACAACAACAACAACATCAACATCTATCAGAAGGACGTGAAGAAGTCGCTGTCGTGCGCCAACCTGTCCAGCTACGACGGCTCAGCGGGACTGGGCCCGGGTCTCGGTTACGGGCTGGGCATGGGTATGGGCCAGGGCCACGGGTGCGGCTACGTCAAGCCCCAACCGCTGTCTTCGGTGAAAAAGGTCCCGCGCGGAACGCTGACCTCGTCGTCCCCGAAGCGCGTCATCGTCCAGGCGTCCACCAGCGAGCTGCTGCGCTGCCTCGGCGACTTCCTGTGCTGCCGCTGCTACCGGCTGAAGCACCTGTCTCCCGCCGACCCGGTGCTGTGGCTGCGGGCCGTGGACCGCTCGCTGCTGCTGCAGGGCTGGCAGGACCAGGCCTTCGTCACGCCGGCCAACGTGGTCTTCGTCTACATGCTGTGCCGCGACGTCGTGGACGGCGACCTGGTGGCGTCTGAGCACGAGCTGCAGGCCATCCTGCTCACCTGCCTCTACCTGTCCTACTCCTACATGGGCAATGAGATCTCGTACCCGCTCAAGCCCTTCCTGGTGGAGGTGGGCAAGGAGGCCTTCTGGGACCGCTGCCTCGCCATCATCAACGCCACCAGCGCCAAGATGCTGCGCATCAACGCGGACCCGCACTTTTTCACACAAATCTTTGCCGAACTGAAGAGCGAGGGCGCCTGCGGTCCTCAGGACTACAGCCGGGTGCTGGATCGGTGAGAGGAAGGTCGACTGACCGCCTGCCTTTATGTACAGTATGAATACTACGAGAATATGAATTTGTCTCATTCAGACTCGTGTCCCCGTTGTCCTCTTTCTGCTGCCCTGCAGGAGCAATGGCTGCGTAATTTAATGGATTTATGTGGACATGTTGAATCATTCCATCTGTGTTCTTTGCCCTCGTCCATCCACAGAAACAGGGAGGGGTTTTCCCGACTAACAGAAGGTCACAGCTGTGTTTTTTGTGCCCTGAAATTTCCACCTGAGTTTACTTGAATTGAGGAACCATTTGGTCCGCCTGTCCCTTTTGTGTCTGGTCCCAGTTGCCCCAGTAGTCCCAGCCGCGCAGCTTCCTCACCTCGCCTCTTGGATTTACGATCGACCTGCGTGCGCGGGACAAGAAGACGGCATCTCTGCATCAAGATCTTTTTTTTAATTTATAATCCCGAGAGCAGATCCACAAGAGAATAAAGCAGACAATATAATCCACAAGGCAGAGTTACATTTTCCAGGAGGAGACACGTTGACATCCGCTGCTTGCTAAGCCCCCCCCCCCCCCATGTGCCAGCAGTGAAGAGTGACTCAGACTGATGGGGACAGCTGAGAGGGCCATGTTAGGTCCTGCTGGTCCTGCTGTGCGCTGTGTTATCAGTAAAGCAAAGCGGACAGGCAGTGCTTTGTGGGGACATTTTCAGGGTCGACTGGCCTGAGGGGACACGTCTTTAATCCATCAAATCAGCTCCTGCGTCTTCTTGATCTCAGGAGTGATTCCCGGGCCGACTTTCTGAGTGACTTGGTCTTGTGAACGTGTGTGCGCACGTGTGTGTTCGTGTAGGCATTGCGAGCTGGACTGCAGCCGGGGTCATCAGCTGTTTATCCTTTGTTCCCCCGCGTGTTGTTGACAGGGCGCCCAAAGGCCGCCGTTTTAATGAGATTAGCAGATTACCGCAGCCCCTCCCCTCTCTCAACCTCTGCCCCCCCCCCTCCTTCTTGTCCACTCGGCGGCCCTGCCGAGGTAATCCAGGTCAGGTCGGACTGCGCTGGACCTTAAACACACACATGCATTCAAATACCTTGTCGCATGCGTTTTATTCTCCTTGGAGCAGCTCAGGGTCCAAGTCGTTCTGGATGAACGCTTTTTGTTGTGGTCCTGAGTTCTGAGTTTGTCCCAGTTGGTCAGGAGACATCTGCCACCAAGGGGCCCCGTTTCCTCTCGTCCCTCCCTCAGCTCCCGCCTCCCGCTGAATTATTCATTTGAATGAACCATTGGCATTTGTGCTCAAATGCCTTAAATGATCCGTTCCCTGTGTGCTTGTGGTTTGCGTTGTCAGACGGGTCACAGATGAGTCGTTGGTTCGTTTTGATGGATTTTCTTTTTTTGGAGCAAATCTGAGTTTATGTGCCCAGTTATCCAAAAGTTGTTTAAATTCCCACTAATTATTAACAACTAATGTGCACCATAGTTGTTTAAAAAGACCATAAAGTGGTAAATTGCAAAAGGCTGTCAGGCTTTTTTTCAACCATTTTGGTTTGTACACACTTAAAATGAACCTCCCTCCACCTGCAACCCTCCTTGTTGGCTGCAAACGTTCACTAGAAATGATCCTACTAGTTAACTAGTGAAAATTAGTTTGCTTCCTATGGACACGTTCTAAATTAATTACTACTATAAAGAGACAAAAACAACGTACTTTAAGCCTTTCTCCTCATCTAATCATCGTGAAACCCCTCAGATTATTTCCTGTGACCCCTGTTGCGTCTCCACGGCCATTTTTGGAGCCCCTGAATTACGGAAGGAGGCTGTTGGTCGTAAGTGGTCGTAAAGCCTTAATCTCATTGCGTTGGGGCATCTGGAGGTTTTTGCAGACCGACCCTTTCGCACACTTTGATAATAATAAACAGTCCCCCACAAGGTCACATGACGAGCCGACCCATCATTTCGGACTTCAGCACACGTGCAATCAAATACACTCTGCTCCGCATCCCCTTCCTTGGGTAATCCGGTCCTAATCCTCCCACCCAATCAAATAGAGAGAGGAGGAGAGCAATGAAAACACGAGGAAATAAGTGAATGGTTCCGATGAGATTCAAGCATCACACAAATCGTGAGGCCTTCCGAGACCACACAGCTGGACCCTGCTGCCCTGCTCCAGCTCACTGTGGGGGTCTTTGAGTCAGGCCTGCCTTGCTCCTCGCCTGAGGGATCTGCCATGAGCGCCAGTCAACCAGAGAGGAGTGATGGTGGTGATTCACGCCTCAGAGAGTCTCCTTTTCGGGGACTTGGACTGGCAGCCATTTTGGGTTTGTTGTTGTGGTCAGTGTAGCTCTCTCTCTCTCTCTCTCTCTCTCTCTCTCTCTCTCTCTCTCTCTCTCTCACCCTGGCTCCAGCTTTGACAAGGACACTTGTGTCTTGACTCACCCCCCTCCCATCCGCCCTCCGTCCTCTTCCCACCCCTGCAACCCCCGTCTCCGCACACACTCAGCTGTTGTTCCGGGCCTTTTTCATTAGATTAGACAACCCACACCCACCAGCCTTTGTCAGGACGAGGAAGGGCAGAATGGGGCCGTTTGTCGGCCCCGGGTTGGATGTGTTTGCGTGAGAATGTGGGTCAAAGTTAGGGGCAAAATCCGCCTTCACCATGCGCCTCCTGTAGAGCTTGACATTAATTGAATCATAATGCGTTCCATCACTGCTCATATTAACGTCTGCCCTCACAATCAGCGACCGAGGCTTCTTTCAGCAGCATGTTGTGACCTTCGTAATGAGAAACAAGTCGCGATGTCCTTCATATGTGTGAATGGAGCAGACACAGAGAAACCTCCTTCATTTAGGCCTAAAATAGGTAATCTATCCTTGGCCAGGAAGGCGTCTGTCCCCTCACTCGGGGACCCTGCGTCCAATCAGCACGCCGTCCCTCCCATCGCTTCACACTGAGGGGAGCGGCTTCCAAACCAATTAACTTGCATCCCGACTGGACCTCTAATTCTGTTCATCCAATGAAAGCGCTCGAGCTCTACGTACCCGACTGACGGACCCGCGCTGCCTGGGACATCTCTGTGGATGCTTTATGCCGCTTGTTGCTGACGGAGCTGCGTGAACCAGATTGGCACAAACTGGACCTTTTCTCTGTAGATGGGACCTTCCTCTGGAACTCTCACTCTGCTTTGCAGATTTTTTTCGGATGGGCCTCAGACCATCTCTGTTTTAACTTTGGGGGTTGTGTGACCAATGTGATGAAAGATTTAAGGGAAAAGTCTAGTGTTATTCTATTTTCGTGTTGTCAACAGAGATTAGACGCTATTTTTAGTACTTTCTAAAATACTTCACTACCCGGTCTGTGTTTGCAACCACAAGCTCATTTGTCTGGACTAGAGACAACAGTTTTAAAACAATTCACCTATGTAGACTTCAATAAGAAAGGGCTTCTAGAAGCTGGGCACTGTAGTTTTTAGCAAACGTTACTCAAAGAGGCATTTGTTTTAGGGACATGTTGTGTCTGGAGTCTTTACAGCAGCAGGACGTTCAATGTGCGATCTACTAAACTAGTGTGTCCACCTTCATGCTAGGTGGGACTGTACTTCAGATACATCAGGCTTTAGACTTACTGATAATGTTAGTTGTGTTCTTCTCATTTGCTCTGCTGACAATAAGAAATACAAAATATCCGAAGACTTTTCCCTAAATGAGCCACAGCTCCATGAGTTGTGTTAACTTATTTCAGTACGTTGCTGCTGGAGAATTGGTGTGAAATTGATTTCAATGGCACACACTTCACTGCTGATGTAAATATGTGTGTGTGTGCGTGTAACATTAAGCTGTTAAAAATGAAAAATGAACAAAAATAAATACTCTTTGTGTGTAGCAGCATGCATGCAAGCCAGGTAGTTTAGAAATGTTTTCTTTTCTTCTTTTTTACATTTTCTTTTGTTTGATTTTTGACGTGATGTTGGAAATTAAGTAAAGTAAAGTCTCTCATATGACACTTCTTGTAACAACATCATCACGGTGGTCTGTTCAGAAAAGGAAACATATGGTCAACTGTCCTTTTCTTAGGCCCCGTCCTGAAATAGCACATCCTGTAAGTTCATACTCACGACAACTTAGAACTCAACAGTCTTTATTTTAGACTCAACCGTCTCACACACCAATTTGCCAATTTTCAGCCAAACTTCTAACCTACGATGTGTCCTCCAACGCAACGAGAATATTGCCGCCCAGAGCAGAGCGTAGAGGTAGAACCGATCGAGCTAATGGCTCAGCCTTTTGTCATCGATAGGCCAGCTGGTGGCACAGAGGCAGCCATTGTTTCCTCCGCGTTCCTCCGCTCCGGCTCTCGATGCAAAAAGCTTTTCAAACTTCACAAATTTTCATTCATCACAGCCCCTTGTTCGTGTTGCGTCGACATGGGACGCGTGTGATGTAATGCAGAGATAAATATGTAGCTGTCTGGTGTCCATCTCCTTCTCCTCCACCTCCTCCGCCAACATTTCCATATTTACCGTCCACAGCCATCATTGCAACTGTCACACAAAAATGAAGCGGCACATCACCTCGAGTGACTTTCTGGAAGCCACTAAAATGTGTACGTGTGTGTGTGTGTGTGTGTGTGTGTGTGTGTGTGTGTGTGTGTAGCAACAAGAGAAATACTGTTGATGGGGAAAACTTGAAGATAAGCAAATGTGACTGTTTCATTTATTTTGTTTTTGTTTATTTTCCTTTTTCATCATGATGACGTTTACGATGTTGATTATTTAATAAACTATTGAGTTGAAAATGAGTTTTTTCTCTCTTCTCCTAGCTTTTATATCTGCACGCTCTTGCACGCTTAACTAAAAACTACTTTTGTTCTCCGCACCGCCTGATGGCCCTCTAACTTAAGACTGGCAGTAAATCCATGTGGGTCTTAATGCACGGCCACACAATAGCCCCGGCGCTGCAGATGGCCTGTTGGCTTCCTGTCGGTGGGGGTGTTGCGCTCCACCCAAGCACGTCTCTGCAGTCAATCACCCCCATTTCTACCCCGACCACAGGTGGAAACACTGCGAAGCTGCCTCCTGCTCAGCTTATGTGCACATGTAGTGCGTCTGCCTCCTGCCGCCCACGGCTGTCATTCAATCCCATTCAAATACATAAACTGTCGTCTCTCTACACTCTCATGACAACGTTTTCTTTAATGTCAGTGTTGAAATTTACTCGAGTACCGTAGTACTCGAGTACGTAGTACTAATACAAGGTACTTTACTTTATTTTCATTTTGCTCATTATAATGTCATCGTTTTTAAAAAAGTTTACAACATTGTGCATATTTATACAAAATGTACGTTTTATTATGTATTGAGCCACCCAGTTGTACATAAACTCATTGCGACGAGCCCCACTTTGCAACATTAAAGTGATGCATCACTAATTGTAATCTAGTAATGTTATCTACTCATTCTGAAAGGTCTATTTTGCATAATGAGTCATTTTAAGTAACAACACCTTTGTAGAACTCTGTCTACAGCTTGAAGCATTGGTTGACTTCTCATGCAAGCTAAATAGTCTTTTACAGAACAAATGTGGTGGTGAATGAAATGGTGATTATATTTATGTTTTTAGAAGCATTTGGAATAATTTGTAAATGAATAAAAACTGGAGGTAACTATTTAAGTTCACATGCAAAGCTGCACATAATATAAAGGTCTATAAAGTCTGTAAACTTAAAAAAACAGCTTAAAATGAAAACATATGTTTTTTTAGTTTCAACAGACACATTTAGCTTTTATCATCTAACAGATGCCAGCCATAAAACTTGGACTCAAAAAGGACTTTTCAGTCAAAGCAGCTTATTTGGCAAGGCGCTACGCGTCTGTCTGGTCTCTCTCTGTCTGATGGCATCGGAAAATTATTATTTAAATGCCATTTATAATCGCTTCACAATGGTGGAATGGGAGGACAGCCGGGTAAAAAGCATATGGCCGTGGTCGGAGCCGGGGTCAGTGGCCGCCGAGAGGTGAAGCCTCGGGACACTTTCATTAAATGAGATGAAGAGGCGTCGCTGCAGATGGCTGCCACGGCCTCAATCAGTCCTCGCACGCTTTCTCCTGTTGTCTGAGGACACAAATCACACAGCTCTCTGCCTCCCAGGGTCACACTCATATACTGGCTCAGTGTGTTGCCGCTTTTTATCAGCCCTGTGGGAGCCTGAAAAAAATAAAAGCCTCTGTCAATGCTTCTTGACATCCAGTAACCGTATCAAGTCGAGTTGTCATAAATCACTTTACTGTGTGCATAAGCTATACATTTAAAACATAAAACATCTAGAACTTTTAAATTGACATGGTGGAAGTGAAATATGACAGCCGAGCCCGGAACCCCCATCGGTGCTAACAATGCTAACGGCGCGAGCAGTTGCAACAGTAAGAACTTGCAGTGTGCGCCTGAGGGGTCACCACAAGGTGCTACTAGCATGCGCCCCAACAAGCGGGTACCAACACACATGCAAGGAGGATTTCCTTCTCCGCTCATGTAGACATTATTCTGCAACAGCAAAGAAGTTAAGAACTTCTCTGAGAAGTGTTGTGTTCAAAAATGAAGAAACGCCGGACGGACAGAGGCCATCGCAGATCGAAAGGTAAAAATCAAATGTATTTAATAAAGGAGATGGCGTTGTGGTAAAAAGAACATCTCAGCTGAGGAGCCGCTGGTGTCAGCAACCAACAGGTCTCAGGTCAGTCCTTTGACCATCCCTAGTGCCCGTCTGTCGCCTCCACCAGCGAACTCGAGAACAATGGTTCCTACAGGTATTTATAACAATGCTTAAAGGTGTGAAGGTCAGTGTCCACACCTCTGGGAGTCTTCTGGTGAGTTCAATGTAACTCTTTTGAATGACCCTCAGTCAACATCAGTTGTTGTGCAAGTATTACATGCATGCATTCCAGTTGATTACATTACATCAAATACAATCATAACTACATTGGTATTTTCTATTACAGTTGCAGAATTACAGTGGTTTTACAATATTGTCATTACTTTATTGATTACATAGTATCAGAATCATGGCTGTATTCTGGTGTACACTATATGCATTTTTATTCATTTTATGAACCGGGTCGTCAATTTATTTCTAATATCCTACAGAAGTAAAGGGTGTAAGTGTAAGAAAATGGCTTGAAGTGTATAACCTGTTCCACAAACTCCAATTGCTATTACAGCTAACCAGCTTACTACGAACACACGTAACCCAGCAACCGAGACCTGAGAGAGGTTTCTTCAATAAGTACATTTTGCAGGGTTACAAGTTTGCAACAAATAAAATAATTTAGTATCAGGGTCAGTCTGCATTGTGGGATTATTTTTCTGGTGCTGTTTTAGGACCCTGGAGAGCAGTTGCCTGCTGGCACATCCTGACTCAGTGAGCAGATGGTTCATAATGCACCCATAAGTACTGGGCGAAGTACTAGTACACCATTGGATGGGACTCCAGAAGACTCTCACGGGAGGACAGATTCTGTGCAGACCAATCCGAGCTACCATTAAAGCTTAATAAACGGCTAAAATGAATAGTCAGTGGTATAACCGCACTACTTTAGTAAGCACAGAAGGCCATTACATGAGTTGTACTTTAGTCCTTTACTACTTTTTAGTGGAAAGAAATCCTCTTTACTCTTTGATTTTTTGAACAAATGAAATACATGTTAATCAGTGAGCTTTAGTGGTGCTAATATCTATTTTCCAATTTGTTATGCTAAGCTAACCAGCTGCGGTATCGTTTGTATTGTACAGACATGTGTGTGGTATCAATCTTTTCATCCGCCTGTAAGAAAGGGAATGACTTTCAAATTTTCGATGTTAACTACTTCATTTTAAGTAGTTAAGTACTGCACGTAGTACTAACCAAGGTACTGGCACTTCACTTGAGTATTTTCATTTTCTAACTTTGGAGCGGAGGAACTTTACTTTGAGTAATTTTTGAGTGAGGTTATACTTTTACCAAGAAAATGCCCAACAAACCAACATCATTTATGCCTCAGAATGTTTTTTCGCACTCTGGTTTCTTGGATATTTCCTGATTAGTAAGCATTCAGGGCTGATGGCATGTGGATTCAGTGCGAGCCAAAGTAAAAAAGCAATCTCCCCCCTCATGTTACTGTAATCTCCAGCATGTGACCTCCCCACGGCTTGATGACGGAGGGATACTGGGAAAACCGGCAGCGCTCACCAAACCAGTGGCCGGTCTGCCCTGAGAGGATTTAGAGGGAAAAAACAACAGCTCTGGGACACATATTATATTCCCACTGGTAAATCCTCTCCAACTCATTACCAAATCCTCGCTGCAGGGTTGCTAATCTCTAAAGAGAGGCCGACCAGGTGCCAGTGTACCACTTTTTGTAATGGAATTGCATTGCGCTTTAAGTGATTGCATAAACAATTGCCAGTCCAGACAAATCAGATTAAAAGTATAGGAACCCTGCTTGGAAAGCGCTGAAACCAAGAAAACGTCATCACGATCCAAAACATACGTGGGTTAAAGATATTTGATTCATGTGCAGCTTAAGTGGAATATTTACCTCTGCAAGTCAGCCGGCGTTTTTGTTCTCGGGCCTCCCTCATCGAGGAAGGGACGTGATTGGAGCGGTCAGAACCAGGAACATGTTGGGAAACATTAGTTAGCATACAAAAGCCTGGCAGCGTCAACGGATGTGAATGTGAAGAGGAAAATAATCGGGGGAATGATTTTTGCACAAGCTGCCATCACACTAAACCCATCAAAGAATAAAAAAGAAAAAACAACACAAAGATGAATACATCTTGCATGTCTTTGAAAATGTATTCAGCTTTGGCAAATCCAGATGTCCTTGTCTGTTCCGATGATGAGCGTGTATGTGTGTGTGTGTGTGTGTGTGTGAACGTGGGTCAGATGATCAGTGATGAAAGGGATATGCATGAATTTGCATTCATCTCACTTCATCTTTTTGCATCAGTCATTGATGGATTACAGAAACAGAATCCGTTTCTTGCCACGTATGTTACACATACAGGAATTTTTCTTGGTGGATGGTGCAATAAAAGCAGACCAATAGAATGAAAAGAATAAAATAGGTTAATGTAAAATAAGATAAAAATGAACAAGCAAAAGTGAACAATATAAACAGATAAGTGCACTAAGACACGTATTGAGAGGAAGTATCGATATATAAATGTCATGGGTCAGTGGGGGACTCAGACCTGGTTCATGAGACCAACTGATGAGGGGAAGAAGGCAAGGCAAGGCAATTTTATTTGTATAGCGCTTTTCATACACAAGGCAGACTCAAAGTGCTTCACATCATAACATTTCATACAATAAAGTGAAATAAAATGCAGGAATTAAAAGACAATTTAAAAACAGCAAATAAAATTATAAATTAAAATCTTATTTAAATTGTTTAATTAAAGGCAGCGGTTAAAAGTGCAATGTAGGTAAAATTTAGCAGAAGGCGAAGCTGAACATAAGTTTTCAGTCTTGTTTTAAACGTGGTCAGAGTTGGGGCAAGTCTTAAATCTTCAGGAAGTTTATTCCAGCTGTTTGTTGCGTAGTAACTAAATGATGCTTTCCCATGATTTGTATTTACTCTGGGAATCACTAGACAGAAATAAAGTGTTTCTGTGGCGAGAGGTCTTGGTCCTGGACCTCTGCAGCCGTGAAAAGCACTAAAGACTTTTGACTCAAACGACGGTGACGACCCCACTGACTTTAGATTAGAATCACAATTAACTTTGTTTTGCCACTGAATTCGACTTGTCTTCAAAACAAGGCCCGAGAGCAAATGGGACCACAGGCGGCTATTTTTGCCAGATGTTCACTCGGACTTCTCTGTGACTAATGAGATTTCTGAATAAGTGTGAAAACCCTGTAAAATATACTGGAGAATGAATTAGTTGCTGCACATCTGCTGGTTTGGTTCACCTGGTACTGGGACATGAAGGCAAAGGGCATCGTGGGTAATTCACAGAATAAAAAAACGCTTGAGTTGTTTGTTGGGATGACGCTCTGGAGGTCTCTGGTGCTGACTGGGAGACTCATGCATAAGAAGACATTTTGGCACAGCAACACTGTATGTATTTGGATCTCCTTTCATCCTTTGCCGTGAGCACAAATGTGTCTGTGCAAACATTAGACATTAAACATCACCACAGGGTGAGATGCGATCCAGGGAGTGGATCACACTTTAATTTCACACCAGATACCCACGCTTCCTCTTCCTCTTCATCCATGTTTATTTATAGAAACTTTTGTTTCCCCATATGGGCCCTCATCCATAAAAATCTTTCAGGGGTCGGGATTCAATCCTCTTTCCTTTTGCCTCCAAATGGAACCAGCTGCCTCAAAGTAACTGTTACCATTTCCAACCTCAGCTGGGTTAGAAGACGGTTTGTTCTCTAACGTCCTTCGTGCTCACGCATCGATGTCAGCTGTTGGCGACCACGGTCACGTCGCAGGAATAAACAGTCAACTGGTGTCCAACCGCAGTCGACGCTGACACGCTAAATAAAGTGCATGATTGTTTCTCGGCCACTTTAAAGGAGACAAGGGGAAGCTTTGTTCAAACTCACATATGAATGGTGATGGCTGGTATGTTTAAAATTCCTAATGTCGTAAAGCAAAATCAAATGTTTTAAGTTTGTACATTAAGCACATATTAAAGCAGATAAACCTGCGCAATTGTTCCGTATCCTGTATTTGACCCAAGGAAGCACATGACAAAGATATAACATACATTTATATATGTGCATATGTGCAGACCAATATAAAGACCCATTTTACAGATATTCATATTCGTCATCCAGAATATGATGCACCTTGTTTTTTGCAGCTCAGACTTATTTTAAGGCGCAGTGAGTGTTGATTAAGGAGGGAAGGGCTGTTCAGAAGTGTTGAATTGACGCTGACAGGTGTAAATGCAGTACACCCAGCACAGTGTCTCAGACTGATTAACGACATTATTTCCCTTTGTGGAAGTCTCTCACATAACACAAAGACACACACATCTGCACACGCAGTGTCTGAGAGCCATGTGGCGGGAGGGCCAGCCGCCGCGGAGTCGCACTAGCAGGTCACTGTTGGGAGAGATGGGATGAAAACTGGCAGCTGACGGCAGAATTAAGCTCTCAGGACTGAATGATTGAAGAGTTTCAGACCTAACTGGAATTTAAAGCAGTCAAAAAATAGCTGCTGTCCACTAACTATACTCAGAGTTTAATCAATGCATGCGTCTGTATTTCAAATCAAGCTTTTTTTTGGGAATGTAACAGGGGAACTCCACTGATTGTACACATCTTGTGTTCTCAGGTGTTGGGGAGTCGAACTGCAGATGGTTTGAAAGTTTGGAAATACAATAAAAAGTCTGGGGTTGTGGGGCTGGGACTTAGCATAGCACATCGCATAGGAAGAAACCCTCAGCCTGCACAACTTTTGCAGGCTGAGGTCGGGGACCGATGGACCTCAGCGGGATGAGGTTACAAACGTGCAGCGAATCAAAGAAAGGCAAAGTTAAATCTCACGTTGCCAAGCTAGCAGTCAGTAGCAGGCTAGCTAATTTCATGCTTTGGATGCTTATAAGAAAACAAATTCACACGATATTCAGCAACTCATTGACGTTTGTGTAAAGGAGGGTTCTATGAAACTATGGCCACGTCAGGTCCTAACACAAGCCTTCAAGGGCGCACACAGTAACGCCTCTTTGACACGTCCTGCATTCCTAATCACAGCGACTTAAGTCCCCGTAAATCCCGTAAAATGATGTCTGCGGCGTCCGCGTGTGTGTTCATCAACCCAGCTGATCTGATCCAGAGGATACCAAAGGGACAAGAGGGGAAACAGCTTTTACGTCACGGAGTCCAGTTGCAGCAGCTTAGCGGGCGGTTTGGATCGGACGTCACCTCCTGCAGGGCCGGAGAAGCATGACATACAAAACACAGGAGCTTTGGCTGAAATCCTCCCGCTCACGCGACACCACAAGGACAATTTCTTCTGTTGGTATTTCCGTGTCCTTAGTCGGCGTTCAAAGGCCCAAAGCACATTTGAGAAATACATTTTAATCACTGCATAATGTCGACTTGTCTGCAGCATTTTGTCTATTTGAGAGGCAACATTTTGAAATCAACACACAGAGAGCTCGCTTCGGTAAATCTTGAATAATTTATTAGCTTTCTTCTCTTTTCCCCTTTCACTACTTCTGACACGGAATAATTGTCCCAGACAGCCTTTTTTTTTTAAGGCAACAGCATTAGACAAGGAACACAAAAACGTTCTTATTTCATTCAAAATCAAGTCATTGTGCGAAAATATACCTGGAAGGTTTTTTCTTAATTACTTTTTGGCAGTGGCAGCTGGAAGAAAATGTTCCAGATAGTTTGAGCAAACATCCCAGGTGGATTTAGTGCAAAACAAATGAGGTTTGGATTAGGCAATTCAGTATAATATAATATATATCAAATAAAAATCAGTATGATATAATATGTAAGACGTTTTATCTGCTTGAATAGCATATATATATATATAGCACTAATATATATATATATATATAAAACAATTTTCAGTATAAGTATACCATATTGTATAATAATATATTTATGTATTATTAAGATTTGATAGAACATATATATATTTATTTATTTATAAGATGCCCCTATGAACCTGTTTGGGAAATCAGTGTGTTGAGGAAAGACCAACTCAGAACTTCACACAATTAATTATTTTGGATCAAATGTACCTGTTTTCATCCACTTTGGTCATTATGTTTCCTCTCTGCAGTCCTCTGTCCACCGTCATGTTGGTTAGAAATGTTAACGTTCCCTAACAGCTTGAGTTATCCGTGTGTGCTCTGGTGTCCTCTATCTAAGTGCTTCATGTCCCTCATTCACGTACCTGTCCATGCTGGATTCTGTACCCTTGATTTAGCCCTACTAGCCCAAGGCTGGATCTATTTTAGGACGCTGAAATGATATGTCACTCATTTATCTTTAATCAGTGATTGGCTAAACTGCTTCTTAGACCCACCTCTTTTGGCCCGAGCCCATTTGAGACATTCAGACAGGCGGAGAGGACTTGAGGAAAAGCAAATATTTTGCAGATGTCTTATTTTACAAGTATAACATATTCCATGTCTCAAAAACACAAATACACAAATATTGACTCTTTGTAAAAATAAGAACAATAAAAAAGTATAAACCTTTTTTTCCGTGGCTCGCGCGCCATGACCCTTTATGGGCCAGCCGGCACAGTTTTTTGTTACATTTTGTTCTAAAAAAGTCCTTCAAATATCTTATGCAACATTAAAAACAGCTTCCTCCTGAGTCTGTACAGCAACACAATTTCTCTATTCACACTTTTGGAATGAATGGTGAATTTCCTGGAGCTGCGGATTAAGAAAACGGACTCTGGTCTCTGGTCTGACGTTTCAAATATTCAAACAATCTTTGCTGGATAGCGGTTGCTTATCACGAGTGTAGGCGAGGTCCTGAGGTCGAGCCGCTAGTTAGCGGGGACCAGCAGGACGAAACCATCTGGGCGCTTCTTGAAGTCCGCGCTGGTCTGGCCCGGTTTGGTTTCTACGGTGACGCTCTTTGGTTTTCCCCGCATGTGAAGCTGCAGGGCTGAAGGACAAACCTTTACCGGCAACTGGACTCTTCTTATCCTGAAAGAGAGGAGAGCGTAGCACAGTTTTGTATTACTGTACCTGGTAAAATAAAGTTGCTTCCCGTAGCCTCTGAACTAATCCTCACCCGCACCAAAGGCCCCATGCATGTGTTATGACTACAATGTTTAATGTTGTATGTGAGTGAGATCAGTCTGCTGACAGATGACGATTCAAATAGTGGCCTTTCAACTTTTGCAGCAATTTTAGACATATGAGTAAGTTTAGAACACTTGTTGGGAAATTCAGCTGCTCAGAAATACGAGAGAAAGCCGTGTTTTCTACTTTTAAAGGAAGACGCGCGCTTACCACATGACAAATGTTGAGTATTTCTTTAAGTGTTTTCAAGTAAAATAATATATTTAACAGGTAAATGAGGACGTAGCCTATGCAACAAAACAATACACTACAACATATACTCTCCTGGTTTAATAATGCAACTCAACATATGCAGGTAATAAACATAAAATGTCTTTTATTTTCCTACGGCAGTTGATCACAGGGAAGCTGAACAATGGACCAAAGTACTGCGAAACTGGCCGTGTTTCAGCAGATGACCAAATCCACCAACATCTACCTGGTATTACTTATATTACTTATCTTATTATTATAAGAACGAGTAAGTTCACCAGGTCAACCCGCCGCCATGCTGCATATCCACAGCAGCCAGGTTCACAACACGCTACCGGGTGAACCTGACCACGTCTCCACATGGGGCATGTTATTGATCATCACTCGTGGTGTGCCATGATGAGTGCCGGTGCTCGACAGCTGGGGGGGGAGGGAAGCGCGGCCCTGCTTGCTCGGCAGGCCGGTCGCTGCACAGCCAGCTGAAGATGATCTGCTGTGAAGGCGCCGCTTCCTCCCGGCCCCTCGGGCATCCGGTGCCTCGGCCTGAGCCTCGGCGACCCCGCACACACAAGCCGGCTACATGGCTCGATCTCTGCGGTGTGCATGCACTCGTACCAGATCCACCTACGTCACGGCCCGAGGCGCAGGAGGCTGTGAGCGCGTGGTTTGATCTTCCCGGTTCTCTGGTGGGTGATTGCTCTCCGTGCAGGGACTTTGTTCTCACTCAATTTGGTGGCGTTACCAAAGCAGATGCAGAACATTATTTTTGCTTAGCAGCTATTTGTGGACGCCTCTGAATGTGGATGGCGTGACTGCAGAGCTGGCTCGTGTATACAGGAACACCGTTGGGAACTGTCCCACTGCTTTGGCAAGAACAAACGTTTATCGCTTCAAAACCGCTACTGTCCTATTCCCCCCCTGGACTAATCTGCTTAAAGAAGACAGGCGATCTTTATTAAGCAGTATACATAATGTTTTCAGACGGACACAACTCCGAAAACTAAACTGAAACTAGAGGGTATTGAATCCACATTGTAGAGACAATCATCGTCAGGCTCCAACACCGTCTCGCTGAACCCCCTAAAACCACCTGGCCACGAGCCCCGACACAGAAACCCACCGACTCCTTGTCTGCGCTCATCACCCTGGGGACCCCCAGAGGAACCTGACACCTGCCGAGCGTGTCCAGAAAGGCCTCCGGGGACAGTGGTCGATCAGCGGTGAAGGCCTGGGGCTCAACGTGCAGCATGGCCATTCGGTTATTTCCATTGCAGATGGAGACCCTTGTACTACAATTCTCACACAATATTCTTTTTTCATCTCAAAACAAATCAGGAAAAGATGTCAACCTCCAGGAAAGTGGTGAACTGTTGTGTGTTAGATTTATTACCACAAAAATGCTGGCTGATTATTGGCATCTGCGAGGAACTTCAAAACAAAATCCAACTGGATTTATACTTTAAATCAGGGATAAAACAAGAGCGATATGGAACTTTAATTATTGAGCTTTTAAGCTGTTGGAAGGTGGAATTTCTTACATTTTGACAGAAAGGCAATTAATTTAACTAATTACCCGTTTCCACCATCAAAAAGAAGTGTATCCATCTTCTCAGTTCGTACGCAATTCCATAAATGAAAACAAGAAGACAAAAATGAGGCCATCTCAGACTCACCTGTGGCTTCCTCTCCATCAGAGCCCCCCCCCTGCCATCCCACAGCCCCCCCTGTTCTTCCAACCCCCCCCGACTCAACACAAGCCTGCAATTTTCCCCTCGCACCCTTAATTAGCACTTCCCTCAGCTGCCTGGCAACCATCTCTGGGGCAACGGCAGCCTCTGCAGCGCGGTGCAGCGGGGTAAAAGCGGGCCGGGGTCACGGCGGGGGGGTGGGGGGGGATTGGGGGCGCGCCACAGGGTCCCCTTTTGCTTCACAGCGTTCATCATCCATTCAAATTACCATCAGCGTCATCGGAGACTTTGCTCCTACCGCATCCAGCTGCACCCCGCGTCTCGAGCGTCCTCCGGGGGGGGAAACATGAGTCATACTGCAACAACGGCAGAGCGACTTCTGTAAACGCCGTGGTCACGCACACGGCTTGAATCATGCGTCGGCGAGCATCATCGAGTGCGAGGCACCGGCTTCCATCCTTTCTGCAGCGATGATTAATCGTGCCGACGATTGTTACGACTAAATCACGTTGCCAGCGAGTCTATTATCACTGAGAGGAGGCGATGGAGCCTTGTTAACTATAAACTGTTGTGACGAATGGAAGTGTTGCTGAGGTATTATTTTGTTGATCTCCGAGGCGGACTTAAAGTGCTGCACGTGTGTGTGTGTGCGCTTGAATCCACAAAGAGGCCTTTTGATGGCGGTGCAGCGTGGAGGTCAGTCGCTGACTGCGTGAGTGCGGCCCGGGGGGCTGTGACACCGACAAGAAAGTAAGTCCCCCAGATTTCACAAGCGAGGCACCAGTCGGACGTCTTCATGAAATCTGCTCTGCCAGAGCGTCTTTGACGTGGCCGTGTGGGAACGAGCTCATGGGGGAAATAGGATGTGAGGTGTTCACTGTCTGTGTAGTTGTGTTCTACACAATCTGCTTTTCTTTTGCTCACCTACAAAGGGTCGGTTAAACAGAAAAAGCAGGAAATCATGTTCACTGGCATATATATATATATATTTTTACGGATTCGTCTTTTCTGTTAAAATTGCATTTTGTGTAGAAAACGATGTGGTGCAGGGGCTGATTTTCTCAAAGAAGATGCTTTACATCCTATTGATATGTCGTTAAAACAAACTGCTGTTTCTTAATTACAGTCCACAGAGACACGTCTAAAGCTGTCGCCATTGCTTCACTAAACTAAACACACTTTCATCAACTCGTTGAAGACGATGTTTGAACGGACGACTCGTTCTGGTCGAGGAGTTTTTTTCAGCAGGGAATTACAGCTAAGTAAGTGACCACAATGGTAGATATTGTACTTACATGAAAGGTCACGTGCTTTTCCGGCACATCTTGAAGGAGGTCTTTTATTATTTTACTACCCTCTCCGCTTCCTGACATTAATCTTGAGTGAATGAAGCTTTTGTGAGTCATGCGGAGTAAAAGTTTATTTTGTGTGTAGTATATATGAGATAACTACCGTCCAGCAACCCTGTGTGTGGACGGCTTCTCGTCACCCAGAGAGCCAACGAGTAACCGGGCACATTGCAGCCTTTGGTCACGACATGAAACACTGAAATTGAATTTGGTGAGAGCTCCTCTTACACTGAACTCTAATATGCTGATATAATGTGGAGATTCCGGCTAAATAACGGATTCTGGCTTCACTGTGAGGCTAAAGTCACTGAGGCCCATGAAATAGGTCAGTGTTCGTGTACACCCTTTATGTCCACCTGGGTTAAAAGCGGTTGCCATAGTTACTCTCAGGGGTGGAGGAAGTATTCAGATCCGTCACTTGAGAAAATAACTAATATCAAACAGTAAAAATACTATTATTAGCATGGATGCAAGAATAATAAGGTAATAATAAAGTATGAAAAGTACTCAAAGCTGATGGATTTCCACTGTGACTGGTATAAAATAACATTTCATTATTATGACTCACGCATAGTCGGATTACTGGTGATTATTCTTTTCCATTCATTGATTGATGGGCTGTGGGTAATTGTGACTACTTCTTTACAAACCCCAAATAATTCCTTCACAATGTTGCTTTTCACCAAACAACCCTCTAAACCCTCTAAACTAATGAAAAGCCCAAATGTTCGCATTTGTGAAGATGGAACCATAATAAGTCTTCATTATCTATTATATGAAAAAAGCGGTCAGATGACTGTGGTGAAGTAAAACAGGCTGTGGAGAAAAGGCGTAAAGTGGCAGCATCAGGTTGTGTTGTAGACGTTGGATCTGTGGGAAACACTGTAGCCCCCCGAAAATGACATCCCACAACCTGTTAGTCTCCATAAGATTGACACGAGCAGCGCGTAACAAACAAGGTGGCAAACCGGGGGGGGGGGCAGGAAGCGAGCGGAGGAGAGGACGGGCTGACCGGGGAGAGGTGGCCGTCGCTCGGGCCCACCGATGAACGCATTGCGGACAGACGCTGAGGGAGGGGGACAGAGGGGCCTATTTCAGGCTGCGGGTGACGCCCGTCACGACCTAGAAAGTGAGTTTAGAACAGAGGCGGCCTTCGCCAACCGGCAGACCAGTTGACGTCCGACGAGGTCAAACAAGAAAGTCGCCAAGTCCTCTCGACATCAGTAACGGCCCATTAGAGCCACAACACGAGACCCCTCGCACGCGCTTTGAGGTTAAAGAAATTGTGTTGTTTTCCTGCTGCTTCCCTGGGAAAGGGAGGGAGGGGGGGGGGTTGACCCAGATGATTGCTATTAATGCCACACCGTCCCAGGTCTTTCCATATTCATGACAGGAAAGTGCAGATTTAGACGATGCACGAGACGGAGAGAGAGAAGCAGAGGACGCGACGAGACAAACTAAAGGAGCCAACGGCGAAGGAGGAGGAGCCGATTTGTCCCACGAGCCAATCCGAGCGAGTCCTTTCGCAAAGTTAGCCGGTCACCCCGGATCACATCTGCTTGGATAAGTTCATGGTGAGCAGGACACGGCCCACACGGAGCGCCGGCTGAGACCTGGACTGCTGCTGTCTCCGGCTTCACTAATGCCGAGTGGAGCAGAGGAAGCAACAATCACAGACACCAGACAAGTCAGAAAGCCTCCAGAGCCTCAAACACAACGACCGGCAACCTTGTGATTAAAGATGGATTCAGCAGATGGCAGAGTGGTAAATAAAGATGAGGTGGTTTGTTGACAGTATCATATATGTGTATAAGCTGGGATTGGCCTGTGTGGACGGCATTCGGGGGAATTGTTATTTAACGAAGCCAAGAAATACTCAGATGTGCCTTTTCAAACACTGACGGCAGGGACAGCGGAGCAGAGGTGTACTTTTATTGTCTGTATGAGCTTCCACGTGCAGCCTTTGGTTCATCACAGCTGCTACAGAGACGCAGAAATCAGTCTCTGTCTGTCTCAGGGAAATAAAAATAATAAAACCCTCAAACTGCCTTTTAAGTAAAGAATCCTCCTCAATCTTTTAAGGCTGCGGCGGATCATACCCTAAATCCTGCATTTAGCCCACTCATACGCCCCCCAGCTGTCCCAGCAGATGGTCCACGAGTCCAACCCCCCCCCCCCTAAACACACACACGAACACACACACACACACACACAGTGAACAGTCACATACCAACACACGCGCCGCGGTCATGTATGTCATGTCTCAGGCGACAGGGGAAGGCGGGGGATACATCCAAAGAGGAGAGAGGGGGGAGGAACGAGAGACGGATGTGACATGAGGAGGAAACCAGACAGCTCGTCCCGGCTCGTCCTCGCCGCCGCCGCCGCCGTGCGGCTTTGAAGTCTGATTTGTACCGGGAGCCTCTAACGCCGCCTTCTGTGACCCAGTTCTGCACAGCCCACTGTGGCACCAGACACTCGCAGATTGATTTACAGAGACGACACGGAATGTAAAAATACAAAACTCAAACACACAATCGCCCCATTGAGTGTCTCCTCCCGGGAACGACCTCCAAGCCTCACGGACCCCAGAGAGGACGTGCGCGTGACTGCTGCCAAAGGGTTGAGATCTCATTTCCTGACCCGAGCGAGCGCAAGAAGAGTGTGTTTGTGTGTTTTCACCCCCCTCTCTCCCTCCCTCCCTCCCTCGCACATGCTCACTCACTTACACAGCTCACCCCTGACTTTGTCTCATGAGCAGAGGTCACGACCCCACCCCATCCCCTCCATTCACCGCAGGTGGTGGCACCACCACAAAGAAACGGGAGCTGAAACTGACTCCCGATGGGCGTCTTCACCTCTGCGAGGCCTGTTGTGCTGCCCCCCCCCCCCCCCCTATAATAAAAAGAAAAATGCTTTTGTCAATTGATCCAACCACCCACAAGGCCCCCTTGGTTTTTTTTTCTTTTAACCCCCCCTCTCCTTTGGAGGACCCGTTGCACAGGTGTGGTTTTGGTTAACAAACAAGCGCGCGAGCGGACCAAGCCCAACCCGCCACCAAACAAAAGGCGGCGTCTTGTGGTTAAAACTTGTCTGGCAGAGACGAATGCGTGTGGATGTGAATCAGGTTTATAAACAGCGATGACCAACCAGGGTCCGAGTGATGGATGCGATAAATGTCAAGCGGGACTCATTCGTCATTCAGAGACGCGGACAAACATGACAAATGTGATAAATGCCGAGAGTAGGATCTGCGTAATTTGTGAATGTCGCATTGATAGACTATATTTCGACCGGGTATCTTTAACCAGCAACCCCGTCCCTCCGGCGCCGCGCCGCTTATTAGTGCGACACGGGGAGCCGACGTTTTCACAGAGGGATTCATCCTCCGTTTAAAGGTCACGCTGCTTTCATGTGTGGTTCTACTGAAAGTCTGACTCATCTCATAACACAAAAAATGTAATACATTTGGTAAGGAAGTCATTTAGTTAATTAATTCAATAAACGTAAATGTGTTAAACCAAGTTATTAAATGAAGTCAGGATCATTTCAAACCAATATGTTTATTTAAGAAAGAAAAGGCTCGAGGCAAACTAAATAATCTATTGTGTTTTGGGTGAAAAGTTCCTGTTAGTTTGTGCACTTTCTCGATATGACTGAGCTGCAAAACAGGAACATCTTCATATAATTCTAAGTATGTTGCATTATCTTTTTCTGTGCAGTTTTGTGGGGACTAATTACCTTTATCCAGTTGCTTATTATTCATTTTAATTTCGACAAACAGGTCAAACTTGACCCGATGATCAGCAGACAGGAGCAGAAATTCATTTGGTTCTTTATTAGTAGTGTAGAGTAGCGTTCTTGTAGTTAATATCAGTTCTATTGAGGGAGGATTTAATCCACAAGCTACCATTTTTACTCACGACAGTTTAAACTTAATACAGATGTGTATTTATCTCTTGCTGGGATTTGAAAGAATTGTTGTCCGTGCTTGACGTTTAGTGAGAAATGGAATGAAAACCTTCAATTTCACATTCGCATGATTGTGTCTCGGTGACTAATTGTAGACAGAAGCAATCTGGGGGCCTCAATGTACGAGCAGTAAAATTGGTGGTTTCTGCAGCTTTCGTAATGGAAACATCAGTAACGGAGCAATAACGCTCCCTGTGACGGAGAGCCTCGCTCGCACGCGGGAGGACGTCGGGGGGACGATGTGGGACAAACAGTGCGGCTGCGTGAACTGACCGCGTGAAGTGGTCCACCAACGTGCCCACCAGCTCGCCCACTCGGTCCTGGTTGGCGCCCAGATCCCCGCGCTGCAGACACAGCAGGACGTCGTCCTGGGAGGACGTGTGGAGCGCCACCATCTGGTCCACCCCGTCGGTCACGCTCAGCCCCGTCAACTGTGGAGACACACAGACCCCAGAAAGTGAGACACCCACCGCAGTGAGGGACGCACTCAGGGAGGCCCTGTTCCAACACCTCGGTAACCAACAGTAAAATGCTGCTCGCACATATCGGAAACTAGAATAATAATCAATATAACATGGAAAACAAGTCTGAATGCTGACGTGACTGACTGACATTCAATGTCACACACTCCAGCTCTGGGAACTCATTTAAATAACAATGTCAGGATTAGTAACGTTAGAACGTACAATACCTATTAATTTAATACAGTGCGGCGCAGTACATCCAGGATCAAAAATCACACCACGGATGAACCCAGCGGATTATCTCTGCTCGGTGAGAGGAGATGTGCACGTGTGGTGGACGTGGTGAGGTGTGACCCAGTTGGGAGGATGTACAGACTCTGGGCATTAGGACATTTGTGGTACTATTGAAAATACTCTGCTGCAAGTGGAAGTCCTGCGTTCAAGATGTAACTGTAGCACTCGTTATTCAGAATTTTTTTTTTTTTTTTCAGAATAATTTTCTACTGATTGATTATACGGCTCAATACTAATTCAAAAGCTATTTGCAAAGGCCGAGTCACAGTCCAGCAGGCGTGCGTGACTCTGTTTGTGAAGACGAGTCTGGTCAATTCAGGCACAACAGGAACCGTCACGGTTATGCAGGAAGTCGTCACTTTATCACATGATGCGACATTTCAGCCTTTCAGCGATGAAGGTCAAACTCAAGGAATCGCTTCCAAAGAGCCTGTGTTGCACTTCTTCTTTATTCTGGATTCTGGACCCGGATACGACTCATATCCTTCACCCTAAGCAGCACAGTTTAATGGCATGGGCTATCTTTAGCCGGTGCACCGCTGCATAATGATGGGTTTCAACCCTCCGGCCTCTCGCTCTCTGAAAACACGTCTGGACGTCCAGCTGTGCTGACTCATCGCTCTCATAGCAGGTGTTGTTGGTCTGAACACAAACATTCAGGGAAAACTACATTACAAACAGTAGAGAACAGGCCGTCGTTGATCTTGACATTAAGGTATCACGACAATAAAATGAAGTGAAATGACGATACATGACAGGAGAGGTTATTAATCTGTGGCTATGGCGAAGCAAAAGTAGGACTTTTTCTTTTGTTTCTTTTGTTTCGGCCACTTTTGTTGATCTCCAAGCACTCGAGGCAGCAGGTACTCACTATCGCTCCTTGAGGTGGAAGTGGTAATGAAAGACAGGATGGGCTGGTTCTTGTTTTAGTAGATATCTCTGCAAAACAGTCTTTGACGTAACGTCACCACTTCCCTTTTTGTTGTTTTTTCTCTTTTAAAAATTAAATTCCGGCCAGATCTCACACGCTTAAATCAAACCCCAGCTGTCCACAAGGTCCCGGCCCAACATTTGATTTCATTCAGGAATACATCAAACCATGGAGAAAAAAACTGCTGCTCTCAAAGCTATTTCAAGGAACCCCATCAGATTAAATAAAGCTGTCGTCTCTTCTCTCTTCACATTTAGAGCCAACGGCCCTCAGAGATGGCTGATCCACTTTCCCAGGTTGGGCGGTGAATTGAGCCACGTTTTCCCCACATGAGAGGAATCTGTAAAGCTAATCTGTCACACGCCACCACGCCTGACCGTATACCTGAGAGACACACACCATGACCCCCCCAACACGCTCGCTCCAACCGCGACAGACGTGCTACACAAGTGGCTGTCACGAAAGGGAAGGACGCTGTGGGAGCGTGCATGTATCTACTCACTGCATCCAAGGGAAGCCTCTTCAAAACCTTGAACTGCTTCTTTGGCTCCAACTTGTAGACGTACTTGTCTGTGATGAGCAGAGATCGGTCGGTGCTTTTGTTGAATCTATTCACCTGAGAGAGCACAGGAGGGAAAAGAGAGCAGGATAAAGCCTTAAATAAAGCTTTGTGTCGTCTTAGTTTTTGTGGTTTTCTGCGACTTGTGGGCTCTTTTGGGTTCTCACAATTCTCAATTCAAACACACTGTGGAGCAGCAAGCAAACAGTCACAAAACCAAACCAAACCAGGATGGACGGAGGGATCAGATGCCAAGACAGAGGCTCTGATGGGTTTCTCACTGCTGGAAGTTATTTCACTTCATGGAAGCATGTCTTCAAATATGCTTCGCCTGAAGCTGCAGGAAAGCCTTCTTACTGGCGTCCGAGATGAGCAAAGCACGGCCCTTATTATCCACAGCGGGATGATAACGGTTAATCAGAAGGTGTGATACTAAGCAGGGCCTCGGCTGAGAGACAGGCTCACGTTACAAAAGGACATCCTAAAGGTTAAAACCTTTATGATTAATCCTCAGATTGTTTTTTTATCTAACTTCTTTATACTTCTTTCTGAAATATGAAAGACAAGCCGACACAAAAGAGACGGCGAGGGGGAGTAACAGAGAATAAAGGAAGCAGCAAAAGACAGAGACTGCTTGTTCAAATCAGACATTTTCATTTTTTTTTATTTTTACTGTACCTTCCTACAGAAGCCAGAGAAGAGGACCCGACTGTGATCGTCTTTGTTCCTCAGCTCCTTGGAAACACGGGCGAAGCCGGAGCTGGTCTGAGGGGAATCCCTCGCCTGCACAGATCAGAAGCCCGTCGTTATTACACAGAGGCCACGGCGCGCATCTCGCCGGTAGTCAACTAACACTCTGGGTGACCCTGCTCAGCCTCTTCCTATCACTTTAATTCCATAAGCAGCAGATCAAAGCATGCGGCCCCCGGCTGGTTGGCAGACACGGCGGGCCGTGTGGGGGAGCTGAACGGCCTGATGAGAAACGCAGTCGGGGGCCGTTAATCTCAAGCCGTTCCACCATCTCCCTCCTACAGAGGGGAGCCGTCACTAGAAGGTCTTTACTTTAAGGTTGCTAATATATTACAGTCCCCAAAATGAATTTCTCAGCACATTTCATTGAAAATGTTCCCTTGAGATATATACTGAAGATGTATTCACACTGAATGAAGCACAGCACGCGCACATCCCCTGCTAGAGCTCGGCTTTTTATTTTGGTAGGCCGACCACATGAATGCTCTTTTGGTTCAACGGGATCAAATCTCAAATCTCTTTCTGGGAGTCTTCGGAGGAGCCACGTGACTCTGAAGGACTCAGCTAGATAAAATATTGGCAGGCGGTTGTAAATGGCTTCAGAAAATATGATTACGACCAGAGGATTTCTGAGGAAAGCTTGAATTTTAAATAAATGAAGCAGACTTGACGACTCGTTGAAAGTTTCCGAGAATAAACAACATAAGTAATAAGTCATCGGTCCAACTTCCCCTTTGTATGTTGCGCAAAGTTGAGCCAAAGCGACTTCAGGCACAAACAAGCGGCGCTTCAGGCTGCTTGCAAACCACATTACATGCACTTCTCTCCAGGTCTTTGTGGAACCAACAACGGGCTCGTGGAGCCGGAGCCCTGAAGGAGGGCGGCGAGTCAAACTAACGAGGGGAGTGACTCAGTCACGCTCTCGGCTCCCTGAAGCCGCCTCTCAAGCCCCCGGCCAACAAACACTCTCAGATTAGTGGTTAAATGAGCCGACTGTGGGATTCCTGAATGGGGGGCCGTGTTCGCAGGCGGCATCCTCACTTGGTCATGCTGCAAGGCTCCCCGTCACATGCGCCATGTACACGCACAACCATGCCGGTTTTTGTCGGCCAACACACTGCTGCTCATTCAGGTCTTGTTTGTTGTGATTCCAATGGATTTCCCCAGTTATTCTCGTAGACGGAAAAGGCATTTTGTTGTGTGGAGTGTTACTCTAGAAAACACTTCGAAGTAAAGGATATTAACAATGTGTCCGCGCGGCACAGAGGATTTATTAATTTTCTACCTTTTCATCCTCACTCACGATTACAAACGAAGCCCATCTCAGTGCAGCTTAACCTTCACATGTTAAAAAGGCACAGCTTGGTTTGCTCGCTTCAAGTTTTTTCGGCAGCCACGTTTGTTGCTTCATCTTGGATGCGCACTCACGATCTGGCAACCGGTCGCTGAGGTTTTGAGGAGGTTTACGCTTAGACACGTCCAACAACAAGAAAACAGAGGCAGTGTTTTCTTGCCAATATCTTTTGGGGAGTCAGAGAGGATCAAGAGGGATTACTTTTGCTTGAGTCTATATGTGGTTTTAGGATCATTCAGCCTTGAAGGGTGGAAGTGTGTTTTGTTCTGGACTTTTTAATACTTGTCTTTTTCGTCTTGCAATAAAAAATAATTACATCCATTTTGGGATAGTGATGAAAATAACATGTAAGGGTCAGCACTGCATCATAGTTGCTGCTCTTTAATATTGAATTAATGTTTATTCCCATGGTGACTCTTCTTACGTCGGCTAAGTAGTCCCATTGCCAGGCTCGGCCGACTCCCCAGTCCTTCCTCTCTCCACTCAGAGCCGTCAGAGCCGCCACCTTGGCCCGAACCTCCAGCATGTCGGACGGAGGGATGTTCTTCACGATCTGCCTCGCCCACCACCTGACAACGAGGGACGAGAACCAGCCAGAATGTTACGTGGGAGGAATAATACATCAAAGCTGCAACCAAAATAAAAAACAATACAGTAGGAGGAACCGCTTTAAGGTCCGCATTAAGGTTAGACATTAATGTATGTCTGTGCTGATGCAAAGCTCACATGCCCACAGAATCAGAGAGTCGATTTAAACTGTGGTGAAGCAAATCTGCCAACGAGAAAATAATAATTGCTTTTCAATGCAAATGACTTTTAAAGACAAATATGTCCTGGCCAAGCTCAGTAACTGCACAGAGTCACGGGTATTAGCTTAGCCAGGCTAGCGGTTTCCCACTTTGTGCTACGCTGAACTATCATCCTCCAGATCAGAACGACCGTATTTGGAGGGCGGAGGACTGATGTAGAGACACTATACACAGCTTCGGTAGAGACTTGTCAGTCACAAAGGAGCCACGACCCCAAAGCACACACTGCTTTAGTGTCTATTTGACTCTGGACTGTTATTATAATTAATAATATTATAACTTGTCCTAAAGAAGACTTGGAATTCGAGATCGAGACCATAAACGTTACAATGTTTAATGAGTTAATACATCGAGATGAGAGGTCATTTAGAGTTAGACTTCTATACATGCAGACTTATCTTTATACCCAAAGGGGGCGCTCTCTGTCGGCCATTGGAGAGAATACAAGTTTATGGAACTTCCACGTTGTATTCATTTTCAGAAACAGATGTTGTTGCCTGTTTATCTCACTTTGATGAAAGTTTGTTTCAACTTAAAATCTGGCTAAAGACGCAAAAGTAAACAGAAATATTTGCCATTGTTGTTTTTGTGCGGGATCTGACCTGCGATGCAGCATGACCGTGTTGTTGTGGAACTGGGACAGCGCCGCGGGCGGGGTCGGCCACTCAACGCTCTTTCCGTAGTCGGCCGTGGTTCGCACATTGGCAAACCTCCTCTCCACTTCCCAAAAGTGGGCCTTCACCTTGTAGCGCTTGTAGCAGCTCATGATGGCGTAGATGGCCTTCATCCGCCGGCACCTCGTTCGAGCCAAAGCCCCACGCCAAATCTTTTTGGGAAACAAGAGGGACGCGTTGAAGACAGAGAGCCAGAGCGAAGCGACGGCAGAGTCCCACTGAGATGCAGACGAACTCGTGCTCCAGTTAAAGAAGCAGACTTCTCTGCGGACGTCAAAGTAGGTCAGGAGAGAGAGAAGGAAAGAAAGAGAAGTAATTGGGTGTAATGTAACTGTAGCTCTGGATCTCATTAATTATCCCAATTATTGTTACCGGAAATTAGAATTCAAGTTGGCAGATTAATTTCAGTCGAACTTCACCATAAAACATAATTCATACTCTATTCATGAGGCTAAGGCAAAAAAAACAATCCCTGCTCGGGGGGGACTGGAGAAGATAACGTTGCAGGGGATTAACTGAGATCACATTGAAGGAGCTGCTCGTGACATTAAATTAGGTCTGTGTGCCACTTTGTTGTGCTGTACGATCAATAGATCCTCATCAAAGTGCACTCAAGGGCTTTAAAAGCATCTGTGGAATCCAACATTTCTAGTCGTTCTTTGGATGGACAATGATGACCAATAAAATATAGATTATGTTGCTAATATGGCCAACCTTCTGCAGGAAGAGCACCAGGATGGGGATGAGGGCGGCTCTCTCCTGCTCCAGAGTGAAGAGCGACCGCGGCGTTCGGACAAACAGCTTGGTGAGGCCGTACGCCACGTCGTCCTGGAAACCGTGCTGGGTGACGATGGCCTCCACCGCCTCCCTGTCCGAATCCATCAGGTGGTTCGGCCAGGTGTACTCACACGTCATCTTATACCTGCAGATAGTCACATGCCACAACAAGAGTGCAAAGGTGAAACAGGTGCTCTTTTTACTTTGCTTGGAAATGTTTATTTTAGTCAGTGAATTTAATTTAAAGGGAAACTTCCAATAAAAGAAAGAACTAAAGATATTAAAAGCAAAGATAAAATGTCATCTCATCAAAAGTGCCTTATGGCAGTAGTTTTAGTTATAAATGTATCATGGTAGTAAGGTGTTCTGCATAGTTTCATTCTCCACCCGTGGTGGTAAAATGAGCAGCTGTAAGACAAAGAACATGACTTCCTGCTGCAGGACCCTTGCTTCGCAGAGCACGCCGTTCCCTTACCGCTGCAGGACGCGAGCATAGTGCTGCCTGTAGGCGAAGCCCGCTCTGCGCACCATGACGTTCTCCATCAGGCCCAGGTAGGCCACCTGATGCTGGCAGCGAGCGTCGTCGAACAGCACCGGGGACTTCATCTCGTTGGGCTTGATGCACCGCACGTAGTACGGCTCCTGAAAGACCATAGAGATTTGTGCAATCCTCTCAGGAAGGAAGATGAGAAATCATCTCTTAATAAGACAACAACATGTGCCCTTTCTTTTGTTTCCCAGCTGGGAAACTGACTGAAGGAAATGAGAGCAAGGGCACGACGGAGGACAATGAAAGAACAGCACAGCACGACACGGTGTACAAATACTTTTTCACTGATTACATGTTTGCGATGACTCGTGTCAATGATTGAAGCTAATTGGCGTAATTTCGAGAGCAGGACCACGCCTCCAACACGCCTATTCCGGTATCCCAGTAAATACGTCCCTAACCCACTATTTCCGTCTCGCTGACGCGATCCAAACCCCGCCTTCCCAAGCCATTTTTTTCTCACCCATCTCTTCCAACCTTTTTTCGTAGAGTTCTGAAGGGGTCCGTTGTGTCCGGGCGACACGACAGATCCTCCGACGTAGCTCCCCACAACCCGTCCGACTGACGAAATCGACCACACAATCCTATCGCTCACGTCTCACAAATACGCATTCAGTTGGTGGCGTGGTCCCTGCCAGTTCACGACCCCTGATCCCACTTGCACCCGGCGCCACAGCAGCTGAGCCTCATAGCACGTCTACTTTTTAACAGCGCGTTTAACTGCCCATCACATCTGGGACGGCGTGTGGAATGGCGGCCGGGCGCCTGCACCGTGACGGGGATCTCTGGGGGGACACGCCTGTGTTTTCACTGCCTGTGAAAGGAGTGAAACGAAGACACCTTATGCTCGCCAACGCTGTCATCCATCATATCACACACAGAGGGGCAGAATTGGACACAGGTGCTCCGGTTCAGCAGCAGAAGAACACATCCGCTCTTTCAACGCGACCTGAAGGTGCTGAAGGAGCTGCCTTTCACTTCGCCACAGCGAGACGAGACGCTGCAACAACCCGACAGTAGGCCGTCCCAAAATAACAGCAGCAAATGTCAGACTTCAGTCAGAGAGATGAGGGCAGGAGAGGTGAGGAGAACATGTAGTGGTCCAGCGCCGGCCTCCTCCTCCTCCTCCTCCTCCTCCTGCGCCCCATCAACTCCACACACAGCCAGAGGAGATGAGGACGAGCGCACGACAAAACTGTGGCTCTCCGACACCGGAAAAGGCACATTGTTACAAATGTAAATGTGTGACGGCCTCGCGCCGCATCTCGTTCCACATTTTTGTCATCCACAAACGAGGAGCTGTGAGCCTCAGAATAGCCTGTGACTCAATGAGGCTTCAGAGGGACCAGAACAGGCAAACTGGCGCAGAGCGTCTTCCTCACGCTGGCAGCGAGGTGAAGAAGAGCTAAATACTTCCATCCCACAACATGATCACAAAATGTAATTCTGCCCTTTAAGCACAAACACAAAAGTACATGTATGGTCAAAATTGACTGAATTGTTGGTATATTTATTATATGAAAATGCTCTAAATGCCATTTATGCCATAATGTCAAACCATAGTAACTGGCAGCGTGGTCAACTCAAAGCAGGAAAGCTGACGCGACTAACGCGCAAAACAACATTTACTGACAGTTATGTTCTGTAATTAAACAATTCCCTATTTTGATGAATCTTCACTTTCACCCTCCATATAACTAAATGAAGCAGTTAGGGAAATCTATCACTGAACCAGCTGAAGTTGTGCTGAACTTGGCTAGCTTAGCAGTATGCTACTCATTAACTGTGTAGCTAACTAGACGGCTAAAGTAAAAAATGTATCTAAGCATTAAACAACATTTTGGTAATTAGTTATTCCACGTAACCAAATGAGAAAAACTATTGCCTCATCTCAGCTAGTTAAGCTACCTCGAATCACATAACGTTATCAAAATAAGTTGTTTGAATGGACATAAAAGCAGTGATGATGCAGAGAGTTGATCTATTATGTGCGTTCTATAGCAGTGGTCGACCACCAGTCACACTGCTTTCCAACCAGCCTGAAAACTTCATTTCATGGTTACTGCACTCTGCCTTTGTGCTTTTTTTGTCAGTGTCACGTATCTTTCATCGGTCTGATAAACCGCCCACACCAACCACAACTTCCCCGAAGAGTTAAAAGGAAGGGAACAGGAAGTACTTCTTGAGCCCAAATGACTGACCTTGCATCCCAGTTTATCCACCAAAGCCACGATGGAGTTCTTGAAGAGGGTGGCCGCGGTCAGAGGTCGCTTGGTGACCTCTGTGATGCTCAGCTGACCATCTGGCCACATCTCCTTCAGGACTGGGTTGGCACTACGGGAGAGCGATGGAGAGAGAGGGGACAGTAACTGGGTTAGCACAGGAGTGATGGGCAAAGAAACCACTATGAACTTAACCTAGTTTCAGAAATGTCGAGAGCGTCGTGATATTTGGCACCTGTTGTACATGAGACGCTTGAAATCTTGGAAAAGCAGGTCCTTGTTCTTTTCCAAAAAGCCCTCGACGGAATACCTGGAACGGATGTAGAAGGAAAAAGTCATTGAAGTGGCTCCGAAGAAGGAGCGACGTCCCACTTGAGAGCATTTGGAGTGAAGTGGTGAAAAAAGATGTTAAAGTGACATGGCAGTCTCAGTTTAAACAGCAGGCGTCACTGGAAGGTCCACTATCACTATTGTAGTGGACCCCAATCGTGAAACGATTCACAGACCTCAGGCTAGACAATTTACAAATTGGGAACCAGCTCAAATTTCCTTGCGGCTCCAGATTTCAAGCAGAAGGAAAAAAAAACTGTCTACCACCTAATGGGTCTGCCGTTTTTATTTTTTTTGCTCAGTAGGTTTTAGTGAGGCATCAGCGGGAGGTCACGGTCCTACGGTTGCATAAGCCGTGCAGCCCGGGGGGAGGAGAGTGGTGTAAGCATTGCCTCAAACAAACCTCTCCCTCTACTCTGTGGTTTACAATGTTACAAAATGTAGATTGTTTCCCCCAAAAAATGTATCCGGCATTCAAAATCCATTATCCACTTCCAAAACCACTTGTTCCAGAGAAAAATAGCCAGTGAGTGATTATTAATCTAAATTTGGACTTGAACTACTAGTTGCCAAACATTCAATCCAGCCCCCACCAGAGTGAAGATGATGAGATGCTTTTACACAAAATCTAACCTCTTTAGAGCTCAAACAGTTATTTCAATGAAATCAGGTCACGAGGCAACGAGCTCGGGGGACAGTAGCTCATAGTACGTCAGTGGTGAACGAAGTATTCAGATCCTTTACTTAAGTAAAAGTACAGCGTTGTAAAAAATACTCCATCACATGTAAAACTGAACAAAACAACTGTAGAATAGCAAGATGTAAGTAGAAGCCTAAAGTATTTCCTGTATGCAGCGTAGTTGCTGTTTCAGGCGAAATTCAGGGATAATTGTCTCACACACACACACACACACACACACACACACACACACACACACACACACACATTTGTTCTAAACATTCTCTCTGCGTATTTCTCTCCCATGTCACATGTCGCCTGTGTGGCCCGGTGTCCCAGAATGTCACATCTGGAGGGAAAGAACCAGAGGCTGGCTAAGACAGATGTTTCGCACACGGGCAACAAAACCACCGGACCAAATCCCGGAAAAGAGCGAGAGAGAGAGAAAGAGAGAGCAGTCAGGACAACGACATGACCAGCCACAGCACCCATGTACAGGATTGAGGACCGTGCTAGGACAGGAAGGACGGGAGGGGACAAGGCAGCGAGGCCTCCAGAGACGTGGGGATGATTCAGAGGGAAGAGACATGAAGGTCACGGCTGCATGCTGCCAGGAAAGGGGCCATGGCGACGACAAAGATGTGAGATTTCTTGCGCCCTGGAGTTGTGCAGCTGGGCGAATATGACATACATCTCATGGCTGCTCACGGCGGGGGAATTAAAAAGAGAGTCAGGTGGGGCGGGGCGGGGGGGGGGGGGTGGGGTGCAGTACAGAGGGAGGAGGAGCAGGAGGGAGCAAAGTAGGTCAAAGCTTGAGATGGTGGTGGAGCTGTGAGAGGCGTGGTGGTGGAGGGGCGGGGCCAGAGGCCGGCGAGGAGGATGCGAGTACATTGAGCCAGTGGACTGCGATGCGGTCGGGTGGGACAGCGGGTGAAGCGAGATACCAGGGGTGACAGCCCTCCACATGACGGGCTGACATGGACTCGTAGTGACAGGGACATCTGTCACGCGTGCTCTCCATCCCGCACTCGCTCCAGCACTGTACTTAAATATATATGGATTTTACATAACATTACCTGTCCATCGCAAAGTCAAGATTTAAGTGTTTCTTCACACGCAGAGAATGCATCTGCAACTTTACTTACTGTGAAGAACTTTTTAAGTGGTTATGAAACAGTTTAATATTGATGCCTCTTAATGACCTACATCAGCAAACAAGTCCCTCAGCGAGAAGAGACGCCCGTCTCCATGGAGTAATTCTTAATGCTCGTCATCGGTGGCAGATTCCACAAGAATCCTATGAGATCAAACTCCAGCAGGGCCTCAAGCAAGAACCAGACCACAGCGAACGGGCTCTGACCCGGTGCCCGATGACCTGTGACCTGCAGTGGGATCTGCAGCAGGAGGAAGTATGCTGCGTAGTTACTCGCAACAGATTAATCCTTCAAAAAATACCTCTCATGTTTCCACATGCTGTGTTTTGCTGATTTTCTCTGTTTCGAATTAGAGTAATCTGGATCATTTGGATAATTCTGACAGGAATTATTTACTTGTGTCAGACTGACAGACTCAATAATGAACTCAATAAGAGTGCAGATCGCTGCACATTGAGAGGTTGGCCAACAAATAGCCTTATATTACATAATCCCATTACTTCAAAGTCTATCCATATTATTTGATGCTATTTACTTTTCATTTTCTAAATCTTTTAATCTGGAAAGCACTTTGTTCTGAAGCTTAAAAAATGCTTAAAAGAAAAAACGATGATCTCCTGGAGGAAATAATTAAATCAACCCCAACCAGTTACAACAGTTAACTGCTGGAATAAAAACGGTATGACATAAGATATAGTATTACAACCCTCACGGTAGTCGTTTCCCACTTTAATTACGTAGTTGGTCCTTTTAGTGAGGGATGCTAACATGTCATGGGGCTGGTCGGGAGCAGTCATTGTCTGTGAGAGCTGTCAAGGCCCTCCCATAACCCCCACGCGGTTTCTCCTGGATTACGCAGGGTGCCACATCTCGTGGAGGCAAAATTGTTTAATAAGCTGGTTCCACCCCCCCCCCCCCCCCCCTCCTCCTCCTCCTCCTCCTCCTGTTCCTTCCGTGCTTCCTTGACATATTTGTGTCCTTCCCCACTCTAGATTGAGGGCAGTGCACGTGAGCAGCGGGGAAATTATCCTCAAACCTTGCTGGCCAGAGGCCTCATCCGACCACGGTGACGTTTAAATCCGGTGAGCACGTTTTGGAAGTGGAGCAGTGATGGAGAAGGAAACCCAACGAACCCAAATAAAAACATTTAAAAAAGGGTGCTTTCGGATTAGAACAAATGCTAAAAAGCCATAATGCATCAGTTTGGTAGGTTTACACGTGAGATTTAATCCTTATACATTCTGCTGAAAAAGCTATGAACATTTTGTGTTTGGACCTTTTTGCAAGTCACCAAATCTTTCTAAAGGCATTATGATTTACCAAAAGGATCATGACAGAGACTAAATGTTCCGGCTGCGGTGGAGAACACCAGAAACGTATCTGTCATTTGCATCCCAGATTGGATCTCCACTCCAACAGCAACATCCATCCATCCACCCACCCATCCATCCATCCATCCACCCATCCATCCATCCATCCATCCATCCATCCACCCACCCATCCATCCATCCATCCATCCATCCACCATCCATCCATCCATCCATCCATCCATCCATCCATCCATCATCCATCCATCCATCCATCCATCCATCCACCCATCCATCCATCATCCATCCACCCATCCATCCATCCACCCATCCATCCATCCACCCACCCATCCATCCATCCATCCATCCATCCACCCATCCATCCATCCATCCATCCACCCATCCATCCATCCACCCACCCATCCACCCATCCACCCACCCATCCATTACTCGTGACTCACGTGACGTCTCCAGCGTAGTGGCGGATGCGGAAGTGTTTCTTAAAGTCCAGGCTTTTGTCGATGAGATTGTGTGTAGAGAGGAAGCTAGGTCGCGGGGAATGGCGCTAAGTAGACAATAGATATCTGTAAAGACCCAATGACTGGTGTGAAAAGATAAAGAGAGGAACGCGCGATTAGTGGGAGTGTTGAAAAGGCATCTCATGCTGTCTGCTGACAAATATCTGCAGAACCGCACCTGCGTTACGGTACATTAAAATACAAGAATCCCCGCATTTTTTGACTTTCTGAATAGAACACTTCAACAATCCCCCTTTTCCTTCTAAACTCTGTGAAATTACAGCCACTTTGTCTGAGCAGCGTTTAAGTTTCATGGGGGGGTTCAGCGTCACACACTTTGGTGTGATCTGTTCTCACCTTGCGGGAGGTGTAGTGGGGGTGCTGTGCCAGCTTGGTGTCCATGCTCTCCAGGCAGACCGTGTCGGTGACTTTTCCCACGGTGAGGCAAGCTTCGTCCAGAATGGAGATGATGCCCTTGTGGGGCTGCTCCACCAGGTCCACGATGATCTGGTTGTTGAAGTAGTCGATCTGCGAGTCAACGGTGTGATTGTTAAGTCGGAGGGAAAAGCCCTGATGTTGATGGGTCATGGTACTGCTTGCTTGTTTAACGGGTTTCTGTTGGTGTATATTATAAATTGCACCTCATGAGTCATATTCATGACACTTTTTTTGAATTTTCAGCCATATTATTGTGTCTTAGTGACGAAGGAGGGATATAAAATTGGATTGCATTGAGGGAGAAAGCTGCAGACAGACGCTGCTAAACCGACTGTAATGATCTATTGAGGCAATCCTCACTGTCAATGTGCTGATCTCATCGCTAAGAGGCTCCGATTGTTATTAGGAGTTTATGACAACATTATGGAAAGAATCCTACAGGAGGACAGCACCCGACCCGCTCCGTTGCTTACTGTGTCATGTGACCTGTTGCTGGAAGGCCCGCGTAGGCCAAATAGGGTGAAGTATGCACGGATGCGACTGGCACCTAGAGTGATGTTTATGTAGCCAGAAGGCCTTTTCTGTTCAAACAGTGGTTTGAATCCATAAACGAGGCATTAGAGACACCTACTGGAGAACACTGGCTCCTCCACTTCCCTTGTGAATGTTATAAAGTCATGCACATGTCAAGATTGAAGTAACGCTGGCGAGGTATTTATGACATGTGACTCTTTGTGTTCACAAACAAATATGTACGAGTTGTAAATGAGGGGAATGGATGCAGAATCCTTCTGCTTGAGTTTCACGAGGTACGCAGGCAGACAGCTGAGCAGCAACGGATCTGCACGTGAGTGTTTTTCTGTGCACGTATCGCAGTCGAGTGTCTGTGCCTGTGTGTGCTGCTCACGTGCTGCCAGGTGATGCCCTCTCGCTGGTATTCGCCCTGCTCCTGCCTGAGGATCAGCTCGATGAAGAGCTGCTGCAGCTTCTCGTTGCAGTAGTTGATGCAGAACTGTTCAAAACTGTCCGACAGCAGAGGAGCAAACACCTGAGCGACGGCGTCGGCGCTTTCTTTCCCCCCCCCCCCGTGATATGTAAGCGCGGCGGCAGCACAGACCTGTTGTTGTCAAAGATCTCGAAGCCGTAGATGTCCAGCACGCCGATCACTGTGTTCTTCCCGTGGAGCACCGGGTCGTAGTCCTTGACTTCGATAACGCTGTTGATGCGGCTCACAATCCAGCCGAAGAGCCTCTCATACAGAGCCTGAGGACGGGCGGAGGAGAGAGGGAACAACGGGGATTGAAACGACGCGACGGTGAAAATGAGCCAGAAAGACGGTGTGTCACAGTGGTGATGTTGACATCATTGTCTTTTCCTAAAGAACCTGCAGAGCGATCACGGCCTGTTTGAGCAGGAATCTCATCCTGACAGGCTGCTGATTGTGCAGCACGGTCTGTGTTACAGCACCTTGACGAAAGCATCCCTTCCACAGCAGGTGTCCTGCTCCGTGTGGCCCTTCTCGATGACCTCGCCGCCCCCGGTGGCCACGGTGCGGAACAGCAGGCTCTTGCGGACGCTGTCCGCCTCCGTGGCCGTCAGCTCAGAGACGTGTCCCACGGCTTCGAGGCCCAGGATCTGGACGCTCTCGCCATCGCTCTCAAACTGGAGGTTTCCCTGAGAAACGGAGCGGCCAGGGTTCATTGCAGAGCCGCGATCTCATCACCACTGGATGCTTTTAGTTTAGGTGAACAAACTAATTAATGGCACGATTTGTTTGTTTTTTGTTGTTTTATACACAGTGGTGGTTTTGTTTCCGGGGTCAACTGCGTTAAAATATTTTACTGCATTCATCTCGGGCACTATGTTGCATAGATTAACGCGTTAAGGACGACAGCCGTGATACACATATATAATAGTTTTAGTCCTAGATGACCTTTCCCTATTTTGAGCGCCGCATGCTGTGACTCACCAGCAGAAGAATGGAAGCCAGGATCTGATAAATTGAGTTAATCTCCTCTGCTGAGAAGCCGATCACTTCCAGGGCACTCATCACTGCTTTGTGGCTTGCGCGGTCGTTGTTGGAGGTCTTAACAAAGCAAAAAAAAAAGGATTTGGGATTATCATCATCAGTCAAAAGAATATGAGCCGCAGTTCAGAAGGGGGCATCTGGATGGAATTATTTCGCGAATGATTTATTGCAAATGTGTTTATCGAGAAGATGGTTTTATTTCGCACCAATAGCCGTTTCTCAAAAAGCCCATCCTGTCTGCAGCTAAAAGTGTAGAGGTGACAAACTCACAGCAGTTGCAGCTCCCTCTTTGGTATAAATAAAAGCAGCAGGATCGTTCTGTAAATGTAACGACTGCAGCAGCTCATCTGAGCCTCCACGCAACAACTGTGAAAAATGTCAAGCAAACATGCGAGTTCAGATCCAATTTAACAGATTTGGTTCATTGTGCAGGAATGCGGCAATACAGTATCTTTGATTGGATTTGATTTGGCCTCCCTCTGGGCATGTGTAGGAGCACAGATTGAAGCTTACCTGGTAGAAGGAGTGGAAGTTCCTCTCCCCGTTCTGCTGCTGCACCACCCTGGACTGAAACAGGAGGACATCCATCCTCATCACACACTCTCAGACTGCCGTGTTGTAGGTTGGGCCGGGTCCTGCATTGGCTGCCCAACAGACCTGAACTGCTTTCAACTAATCTAAATGGTTCTAAATTTATATTAAGCTAAATAATATCAATAGCGTGAGTGAGTTTGCTACGTAACAACAAAAAAGTTTGCGAGTCCACACGCAACAAGTTTGCTTCATGTCGGTGACAAATCGTACATCTAAAGATAACTGCCCTGTGCTTTCGTTTTTGAGGGACCAAAACGCGGATCGACCCACGTTCAGGACAAACCCACGACCAAGCAACCAAATCCTCACCGTCGGTGTTTTTTACTGCAATAGCTTTGTGTTGAGACCCAAACTCATCTACATCTATAACCTATTGGGAACAGCGTGGTTCTTCCTGCCCTCTGAAAATGAAGCATGGCCCAAACATTTACACCACGATTCACACCAGCTCCGAGTGCCAGACAGTGGATTAATACAGCGGCATCACGGCGCCCCGGGGCGACTATTAACACCCAACAACAGCAGCAGCACGTCGGCTTCACAGGTACATTCTATTCACGGATGTTCCCTCTCACCTCTTTGTCATCACCTCATGAAACACTCATTTTCTGGAGGGAAGATAAACTTTCCTGTACTTTCTTTCAGAGGTGGGATCGTTGCGTCTCCGACGAGTTATAACTAGTTTGTTTGTGTGTTCCTTGGACCCGAGAAGGTCAAAGCCATCATCCATCCTGCCCACCTTCTCCAGCAGGTAGTTGTTGATGTGCCCTCCGGTCGGTTCCCCGTTGAAGTTGAAGTTGATGTCCATGTACTTGCCGAAGCGGCTGGAATTGTCGTTGCGGTTCGTCTTGGCGTTGCCGAAGGCCTCCAGCACACAGTTGGATTTGAGCAGCACGTTCTTCACGCTGGATCATCGTGGGAACCATTGATGGGGAACGTGTGAGACACGGCGATCATAACGGTGGAAATGGGGTCAGAGAAAAAGAAATTCAGCAATAGGATTACGTGACGTTAACGCCACCGCGATCCAACAACCTATTTGACTTTGATTTAAGGACAGAAATGTACGTTTCCGATTTCAGCACTGATGTAAGGAGTTTGTAGTTCTACTTATCAGTAAGCAACACTCACCTCTCGACCTCCGCCCTCTGGCTCGGGTTTGTGATGGCTGCAATGTACTGCATGATGTATTTACTGGCTTCTGTTTTTCCTGCCCCACTTTCGCCTAAATGACAAAACACACACGTTTCACGACAAAAGATGTCACTGATGCAACAGATCACCACATATATATAAGTATACATAATACATGTTAGCATTGTATGTGTGTGTATATATAGTAGCATACGTACACGTTTATAATGTGAATATTTAATGAACTTTTTGTCTTATAAAAAGCTGCGTACATATTCTTTGAGACGGACCCAACAAGAAATAGAAATGTGATGTTGAGCTCAAGGCGGCAGAGTGGCGTGTGGGTTATGTCACGGCCCTTCATCTGGCGCCACACACAGGCCAAACATGGACATCGCCAGAGGTGATGATAAAAGACACACTGATCCATCCAGCGGTTTTGTGTTCACATGTGTCATCAGGATCACTTTCCAAGGTGAACGCGTCAGATAATGGAGCTATGCATGAACTGAAAGTGTGCGAGGTCCGTGTACACTCTGAGGCAGCAGCAGGCGAGTGTGACAGACCTGATATGACAATGCAGGTGTCTTTGGCCCGTCTCTTCATGGCCTTGTAGGCGGCATCAGACACTGCGTACAGGTGAGGAGGGTTTTCGTACAGCTCCCGGCCCCGGTACGCATCAATGGTGTCTTTGCCGTAAATCTCCATCCGTCTGTACGGGTTAACGGAGACGACTACCTCTCCAATGTAAGTGTAGATGCGGCCCTTCTCAAACCTGTGCAAACAAAACAAAGGGCACGCTGGTGGCATACTTCACATGCATGCAGAGATATCACATGCTGGATGTGTCACCTATGAAGATGCTGGGGCTGCACGCCACGTCTCTAAATACTCTATGTTGCTGCATTTATTCAGACGTTAAGTTACAAGTAAAAAACAGAAGTTCAACCTCAAAGGCATTTTACCATCAATGCTGAAAAAAAGAAGCTTGAACCACAAAAGATCATGCACCTTTACATGACACGTAACTTCCTGACAGGAAGTGACACAAGCGTGTGGACACAACAAGAGCAGGAAATGAAACTTGCGGTACAAAGGGCGGCACAGCCTTGTGTCACCTCATGGGGTTCTGTTGAGCTGTGAGAGGTAAAACTGACGTGTCACAAGAGTCAGTGAAGCCAAATAAAGTATTGTTTCACGTGTCACACGTGAACTCTGTGGCAGGCCAGGGGAACGATCACCTACGGGTTGAATTCTAATTTCATCAAAACGCCGCTGAACGACCTTCAGAGGACGCAACCAGTAGAGTCAGCTGTTTATTCATCTGGTTCTTGCTAGCAAGCAGATGTTGGAAATGCAACCAGAGATATCGTACATTTCTTATCTTATTTTACTGATTTTATCCTTTTCATTCTATTATCTCCTGTCATCCTAAATCCTGCATGTGAAACGTTGTGGCAATGTTACACGTCCTATAGACTGTATGTGTTATCGGCACACAGTTGTCTGTTGTCCTGCTTAATTACTGTTCATTGTTTGAGACAACTAGAAGAGCCTGAATGCACCGTTAGTCAAGAGGATTTTATACATGTCTATTTGTTTCTCACGAATGGTTAACGCCACCCCTTAAACCAGCAACCAGTGGCGCTACAGAGAGACGCTCCTCGTGGCAACAGTTGGGTTTGGGGCGAAACAAATAAAGAGAAGTCCGTCCAGTCTTCTTCCTGGCAATCTGTTGACCAATCGGTAACAAGAGTTCATGTGAGACATGTGAGACTACATCTGACACGCGGTGTAAATCAAAGATCACAAATCCTCTGGTCCCTGTGAATGTTACAGTTCACTGTCACATTGAAGGAGTTTCACCCCTTAAGTACCGTTAGTGGAAAACTTTTAAACTGTCCAATCAAGTGTTGATCATTGGTAACCATGGCAACAGATCAGAAACGAGGCGTCTCCGTCCACAAATGTTCAGCTTTTGGTGGCGTTCTGCTGACAGAGAGGCCGACATGGTTCATAGGTATCAGTACTGTAAAATAAGTAAAGAACACTGATACAAAAACAAACATCAGCGCAAACTTAAGTGCCGGCTGACAAGTCTGATCAAGCTGTGTATTGAATCCAAGCTCATCATTATTATTATCCAACCGACACTGGACCACAGAGACTTCTGTTTCCCCCAAATCTACAGCTCAATCAAGACGTTTCACATTTCGTCCTGAGATGACTGTGATTTCTGACAGTCCCAACTGAGGACATGATGCCTACTGCGAAAGACACTGAGGAAGTGAGACTGGACGGGACTGGACTCTGAGACAGACAAGTGTAAAGTTCCAAAAGCATTTCCCACACACAGCGAGCGAGAGAGAGAGAGAGAGAGAGAGAGAGTAAAAAGGTCACCACATAAGACCCCAGAAAAGGGACATCTGCTCATAAACTGACCCAGGGATCGGGGACAGGGGCGGCGTGGGGTTTGACATGTGCTCCATTTGCCCTCACATGGCAGCCGGTGTGCAGTGCGCTGATGATCACATCAACCACAAGTTCAAACCAAACTCCCAAAGCGGGAAAGCTAGAAGTGACGCCTCGCCGTCTCTTTTTCCCCCTCATGTCTCATCTTCATGTCTCACTCGACCCGACCCGCCTAGATGATGTCATCTTGGTGGTTTAGTGCTACTGGGATAAATTAGGTTGATGTCAGATCCATTTAAGTATCAGAATATACATCTCACTATGTAATATAAGCATTGTTATTCCCTAATACATGAGGTGTGTATTCAGCGTTGGCGGCCGACATCCGGGTTCTTCCTCCCCTCTTCACAGTATCTCACGCCGCTTACCTCAGCTTCAGGTTCTCCATGAACTGCTCCATCGTCACCTCATCCAGCAGCACAAAGTCCGACTTCCCGAACTCGAGGCCCTCCAGCTCCGCCATCCCCTGTCCGTCTTCACCGAACACACCAAAAGAAAAAGAAAACAGTGGACGGGCGAGACGTAGAGGAACAGAAAACCGCCCAAGGAGGAAGAAAGAGAAGTATGGTTCGACTTCTGGGGCCCCGGTGGTGTGTGTGTGTGTGTGTGAGTGTGTGTGTGCTGTGGGCGTGACCGGCGCTGTAGTGGATCGAGGGCGTGCGCTGTGCTCTACACGCTGCAGCACGTCACCCTGTCAGTCAGCCCGTGCCCTGCTCTATATAAATGGCACCAGGCTATCTTTAAGAGCTCACACGTCGCTGCATCCTCCCACATGTCGCTCTCTTCCTGCCGCAAAAGGCCTTCACTTGTCTACGGCTTTCCTCCCCGGAAACAGGCTTTCTGCCTGGCAACAAGCGGTTAACCTTCCCCAAATTTGGGGGTGAAAAAATTGCCTTTATCTCGTGGGACGGATCGTGGCATTTCCTTTCTTGACTTTGCATTGGCAGTACAACGTGTCCCTGAGGGGCTTCGGCTCCCACAGTCAGGCTGCAGCGTGAGAAACCTTCTCTCAGTGGGGGGGCTGTTTGTCATGTAGGACAAATGTAAGTGTGTGTGTGTGTGTGTGTGTGGGGGGGGGTGGTTTGTGTAAATCCAGAGCGTTTACGGGAGTGATGACTAATTCTTCACCCTGGACTTTTCAGAGTATGGGTGTGATTCCGTTCTATGACTGAAACTGAAAACTTGATGCAGTGATGAAGTTGCTTTTGAACTGTGATGCGATGCATAATCACTACAATCACTTGGGAGAACAAACAAATCCTCCTAATAAACCGTTATCTTTATGTTTCCTGGTTTTGGCTTTAAAATAATGTTGCAAGGATGAAAATGTCCGCTCCAAATAATGAATCGTTGGGCAGCTTATGTGTTTTAGATGCCATGGTGACTGCCAAGGACTCGGAGGGGAAACCCACAGCACTGACTGTGTGGGTGCGGAGAGCCTTCCGATCACACTTTTAACGGTTAAATGCAAGGAGTCATTGTTTTAGTCACCGGTGCAGCCCTGTTAGAACGATGTCCTTAATACATACGTGATACAAGAAATGGTAACAAGCTGAAACAGAAATAATTAGTCAGAAATACACATACCTACTGTAGAGAATCTGTGGCTTGACTGACGTTTTAGCCTGAAGTTCAGTTTTTATTGTGTCCAGTCCAACGTTTAGTTACTCTTCCTGTAAATACTCTTTGGAGTTAGATCCTCCTCTTCAGTAAGCAGTTCCCCTCCTGGTCCCGCTTCCTCTCACTTCTGTTTCTGTCCCCATTTAGATGATGCGTTCAGGTGTTTCAGTGACAAGTAGAGTGCAGCTCTCTGCAAGGATACTGGACTTAACAGTATAGGGATGTGAGAGCCGGCCTCATTTCTGACGGCGATGACAGAGAATAAAGGGAACTGAACCAGGACTTCATGGGGCGGTGCCAGCAGAACCGTCTCCAGAACAACTCTGGTAAAAGCAAAGAGATGGACTTCCGCCAGGGAAAACGGTTTCCTGGAACCAGTCAAAATCCAAGGAATGGACATCCAGAATGACAGATCTTATAAGGTCAATTGGGCAATAAGCTGGACTAGACTGACAACACAAATGCACTTTACAGAAAGGGTCATAGCGGACTCTATCTGCTGAGGACACGGAGGTACATTGGAGATCAGGCAGCACTGCTGAGGACCTTTTTGGACTCTGTGGTGGCATCAGCCATCTTTTACAGAAGTCTGTTCTGCAAACAAACAGATCAAGAAGGGCAGCAGTGCGGAGGTGGTGGGAGACGGGATGATGATGGTGAAGCTAGACAACGACCCCCCCTACAGGACCCCCGACTCTGTACAGCTCCTTCTGCCCCCCTGTGTGTGAAGGAGAGGGGCCGCAGGTCCTCCCATGCTGCTGCTGTCAGGCTGCTCTGCTCCCAGTAGAACACAAAACTAATTGTGCAACATAAACACTAGTTATGATTAGAAAAATGGAGAAATAAAAAACAGCTACAAGTGACGACCAGATAACGTAACTATGACAGTTAGTATTGAATGAATCGCTATATTTATTCTTCAGTCTTTACAATTCACATAAATTTTGTCTTAGCCATTCAGTTCATCAGCGACGTTTATAGTCAGAGCAACTGGCAATAACAAAACACAGGAGATTTATATCAGATAATAACTGGCGTGAGCAAAACAACTTGAATGAATGTTATTTTTGCTTGATTAGAGTAGAACGTTCGATATCAGAAGCATATCATATTTCAGTCAGTATAATATCAGTTTATTGCACTAAGGCAGGGCAATTTTATTTGTACAGAATATTTTATGTGAAGCAATTCAAAGTGCTTCACATAAAATATCCAAAACAAACACAAAAGCAAAGATATTTAAAAACAGTTAAGAACATTCATTGAAACATAAAAGATAAAAATGACAATGTTAAAAACTAAAATAGAGTACAATTTGCAGTGTAGTTGAAAGTACCACAATTCAGCAGATCAGAACCACTGGGCCTAAACCCTTCAGTGCTTTATGAACCAAGTGCAGGATTTGAAGTAAGTTCTTTGTTTGATTGGAATGCATGGACAAGTTTTTCCAAATCTTGTTGAGACATAAGTCCTCTAATCCTTGATATATTCTCAGGCTGATTTCGTAACCGTCTGTTCAGGTTGAGGTCTGAATACATAACAACACAACAACATTAATCCGACAGAACCATTCAAATGTTACACTTCATCAATAAGGAAGGAGTCTTTAAAAAAGACTAAACAACATCCTTTTCCTATGTCGATTTATTACAAATACGGTATATTGCTGTATCTGTGTACAAATAGAAACAGGCTACCGCTGGAAACAGCGGGCTTTGTTCCCAGGACATCACCGGTTGAAGCTCTAGATGGTTCTGGAGGGCAAAGTTTGCACCTCCCCCCTGTGTGTGCTAAGCTAACCAGTTGCTAACGATACATAGCTTCATATTTTCTGTAAATAGACGCTTAAGTGGCGTTTTTTTTTTCTTCTGAACTCTAACAAAGCAATAAACTGCAACTTCCTCAGACATAAATCAGTAATTGCTATCGTCCCTAATCTGACTATGAATCACCGCGTACTCACACCTGTTAGACAACAAGACGACGCCATTCGACTCCTAACAGGAAGAAGATATAGTGCTAACAACGTCAACGTAGTGCAAAGAGAACGTGTTGAGTGCTGTCTCTGCCTTCACGAAGAGCACTTCACTCATCATCTTTCATTTTCTCAAGGATCCTCACTTCTTCCTTATATCCTTTCGCTTCAGACCCCCTGGTACCTCGCCACGGCGCCGCCATCCCCCCCTGTGTCCTTGCGTTGGACCGGCAGAGAGCTGCTTCTACTCCTGGAGTTTGTCTCCGCTGTCCTCGCCGCGCATCCGTCCGCCCTACCCAGCAGCCTCTGCTTCAACTGGTGGCTCTCGGCGGACGGCCCTATCAGGTGAAGCTTGTCGTTCAGCGGCCACACCACCACCGACTGGTGAACGTCTCCCTTTCCACGAATCCTCGTGGAAAGAGCGTGACCTTCCCGACCCATGTCCTCCAGAGGAACGTCCTGTGTGCGCAGCGATACGCTGAGATCATTCATGAGGCTCTGCAGTTTGCCGGCAGCTGTTCTTGCGCTCTTCCCCAGTAAAGCGACGACGCAGCTTTCGCCGACTTCCTGCGCTTCCATTTCCACATTATGGCTGGACAGAATTTCTTCAATGTTCTTTTTACGGAGCCGGTCTGCGTACCTGAAAACGTCCACGTCGACCACAACGGACTCTCTTCTGGGCCCGGAGGAGCCGCGCTGGTCCGGTGGTGGAGAAACGGAAGCTCCGTGATCTGGAGAGGATGGATGTTTGACGGGTGGAGAAGCCCAAGACGAGGTGGCGCCCGGAGAGGGCGGCGAAGCACGCGGAGGCTGGTCTCGGGGCGCTGAGCGCTCGGCGGCGGGGCGTTTGGAAATGGCTCCGGAGGAAGCCTCTGGATCCCGAGAGATGGCTCGCCTGCTGAAAAGCGCTTCCAAGGGGGCCCTCGCGGCCCTCAGGCTCCAAAGGGAGCCCTTCACGCGCACCCGATCGCTGCTCACGTCCGTCAACGCCAAGCCATGCGACCTGAGGACGTCTCGCACCTCCGCCCTGTTGGGGAAGAGGTCCAAGCGCACCGTTGCCTCCACTGGTAAGTCCATCTGAGAGCGAGAGGTGGAGGAAGACACAGGAAACAGGCGCATGAGGCGTCTCCAAAAGCAGGACTGGTCGGACCTAACATGGCGAGCTCAATTACCTCAACACTCTCAGGTGACGTCGACGGGCCACGGTTCACCGCCAACACACGAGACGTCTTTCAAAGAGACTCGCGCGCAACTGTGGAAACAAGAACGTGACGTATGATCGTGAACCTGCCTTTGTGGTTTTCTGCCTGCGGTTTGTTTTACACGAGTTCTACACGTGTCCGTATTATTGATTGAAACGTGTATTAATAACACGTCTGTACATGTTCTTTGTAAAAGTCCATCACCTGTAAAAGCTGATTCGTCGCGGATTGAAAAGAGAAAAGACGTAAACAGCTTACCGCGGGAACTCACGTCAGCTTGTATTTATTTTACATGCGAAAAGTGTTATTACTGATAAATACATGAATCGACGCACCAAAGCTCTCAGGTAACTTACTTCCATTATACTTACTTTATAGTTCATTCTCTTCCATGAGCTTACGTTTTGTGAGCGCGGATGAAAGTGAAAGTTGTGTCGTCACTTCCGGTGCATTTTCAGTTTCGACGATTCCAAATAAAATTAAAATAAATTGCATCTTACATTTAAATAAGTTAAAGTGGTGCACGGTCCAGCTGCATGGCCTCAAATCGAATGCAGCTTAACTCGAAAAAGAGCTTATGTGTGGTATCCACGAGGATTCCTGCGTTTTATAGTGATCGTCTAATGAGTTTGATTGACAGGCAGGGAGCCTTTAACTAGTAATTCGGTTCATATTCGTCTGTTATAAAGGGGGATAAATTAGAAACCTTTGCAACTGTAGGATTGAGCAATGGTTGATCAAGTAGGCAACAATAAGCCCAAAGGGGGGAAAAAAGGCTGTCAGGTGGTGCAATAAAATTACCAGATTGATTTCAGCATTATGTTAAACATTTCAAACCACATCTCTGGCTTAACAGGATACATGCATGGCTCATCACTATCAGATTCAATGGAACATTTGGATTACTGAGATTTTAACTTGCCCATAACCCATATTTTGTACCTCAATGTGGCACTCCGTTACATATGTGCAGCACGTCCGTTGAGAGAATCAGCCTCAACTAAATTGGTCCTCTACTGTTAATGTAGAGTTTACTACAAACTAGAATTTATTGGATACTATACATGTAGGTCAAGGTTTAATTTGTCAACTTCGTAATCATATTGAAATATAAAATGTGTAAACCTTTATGAAGACAGCAAGGACAGTTATTTGAACGCAATCCAACATTGGCCCAAAAATCCTTTTAACTAGCAGAGCCTCCACTTGTCCCTCGTTGTCTGACCAACGTGTCCATCAGCGCATGTGAGCGGCACCAGTGCTGTAATGTATGAAGTTCTTCGGTGCCGTACAGTGTTCTTGTTGAGTAAGTGAAAGTTAAACGTCTGGTCTCTGCATTGTCAAAGGCGAGTGGCCTTAACAGTCTAATGCAGAACTCACCAAAACATTGAGCCAACAGCACATCAACTAACATCATTGCACTAAACCCAACGTGAGAAAGACCAGGGAAGCCATTACAAGAATGTTTTTTATATTTAGAAGCGGAATAACAGCAACTGTACACAGAAATGCTACATTTGTTTTCCTTCAGCAGATGAACTCTCCAACTCTGATGAAATCTGCAAACAAATAAAATAATCAATTTTTTACTGTAAAAAATAAGCCATCAGCCTGTTGGAATACTGCATGCTCACCTGCGTCAAAGTTCTGCTTATGGACACTTTTAGTTCTCCGGTTCAACACAGCAGAAGACCATGAAACGGCTCATTGAACCCAGCTGGAAGCTGTGCACTGAAAAAGTGAGGAATATAAAATAAGTAACGTTAGTGATTAAGAAATTCAATAAACGCTACAAGTTTATGTTCTATGCTTAATTTTCAGTTATGAAAAAACATTCAGGATAACATACCAATGGCGTAAGTGGACTCAACGGCAGCTCAAGGCCTCAGATTTGACTGGAATCTGTTCCTGTGCAGCAAAAAAACAGGATTAAAGAGTGAAGAGACAACTGAGCAGCAAGCTGAGAACATCATCCGTCTGGAAGCACAAGACAGTAAATGTCGGAGGTTTACCTATAACCAGGCCATAAAGAGTCACGGCCGGGCCTCAAACAGCCTCACGTCTCTCTAGCAGACACTACAGGAAAGGACGGAGCCACGGCAGGCTGAGCCTCGCTGGAAAGGTCTGCACGCACCCAATGCACCGTCACCACCAGCTATATGACTAAACTTACTTTAGCAACTCAGTCATAGTTGAGTCCCAGCTGTCAAGTCAGGTCTGAGGAATTCATCTCTGCGGTCCTGTAAAGAAGTTTAATAAAAATTTAAAAAAAAACATATTTTCCTTCAGGGACACAGTAGTGGAAATATGTGACTAAGTACTTAAAATCACCCATGTAAAGCAGTTGTGAGCACACATGTATACATAGTGTCAATAGTATAAAGCCATCAGACAAAATGTTATTGAAACTAAGAGGGAGGCAAATTCTCCAAACATTTGTGATGTCTTGTTATAATATACAAATGTTGAATACATTCAAATTAGATTAGTGGTGTTATTAAAGTACCAGCTTTAGTGAGACTAAATATACCTTCAAAGAGGTGTACTTAGTGATTTTAACAAATTACATTCGTAAACAGCTATTTGTGATGTACCTGCAGACTCGTTCCTTCGCGGCACGGCGTCTCCTCACTGGCTCACGGGACTCCCACATCACGTCCATGACTACAATAAGAATGAATACAGATTGAAACCGGGACTGGTTTCCTTTAACCAACAGATGGAGGTTTCCTGTCCACGTGTCTGAGGTTTTCCTATAACCCTGCAGCGAGGGGCCACAGCAGGGCCTCAAACAGCCTCACGTCTCTCTAGCAGACACTACAGGAAAGGACAGAGCCACGGCAGGCTGAGCCTCGCTGGAAAGGTCTGCACGCACCCAATGCACCGTCACCACCAGGTATAAAACTAAACTTACTTTAGCAACTCAGTCATAGTTGAGTACCAGCGTTCAAGTCATGTCTGAGGAATTCATCTCTGCGGTCCTGTAAAGAGTTAATTTAATTAAAAAAATTAAGACATTTCCTTCAGGGATACAGTAGTGGAAATAATGGGACATTAGACTTAAAATCGCTCACGTAAAGCAGTTATGAGCACACATGCATACATGGTGTCAATAGTATAAAGCAATCAAGACAGATTGTTATTGAAACAAAGGAGGCAAATTCTCCAAACATTTGTGATGTCTTGCATACTTCATAAGTTCTAATATACAAATGGTTTAATACATTCAAATCAGTGGCGGCATTAAGATACCAGCTTTAGTGAGACTAAATATCAATATACCTTCAAAGAGGTGTACTTAGTCATTTCAACAAATTACCATCGTAAACAACTATTTGTGCTGTACCTGCAGACTCGTTCCTTCACTGCACGGGGTCCCCTCACTGGACTCCATCACGCTCATGACTACAAGAGGTAAACAGAATGAATACAGATTGAAACCTGGACTGGTTTCCTTTAACCAACACATGGAGGTTTCCTGTCCACGTGTCTGAGGTTTTCCTATAACCCTGCAGCGAGGGGCCACAGCAGGGCCTCAAACAGCCTCACGTCTCTCTAGCAGACACTACAGGAAAGGACAGAGCCACGGCAGGCTGAGCCTCGCTGGAAAGGTCTGCACGGACTAACTACGTCACACAGGACGGACCTCACTGGATGAGGTCCACACAGACCTCACTGGATGAGGTCCACACAGACTACATCGCGCGAGGGCTCATAACCGCAGCGAGTGAGCGCACGTGCTCCGCTCATGACAGGCATAAATAACTTACTGAACGAGTCAAATATGACATTAAATAAGCTCTATAGTACATGTATATACAGGTCAGTAAATTAATATATAAACTAAATACCAGCTGTGTAAAAACGACAGAGCGCTGTAGAGCGGACAGACGTCACTTTGGTCTTTTAACTGACTGTTTCCTCAACAACAGTTTAATTTCATTACAACTTTAAACTTCAAATAGTTTCACGATGTCAGAATCCGATGGCATTTAACATTACGGTTGGATGGAGACGGATCTTTTTTTTCGCTTACGTTACCTTTCACGTGGTGCTCCGACTGCTCAACAGACCTAGCTGCCCGGATGTGACGTCATTTATACTATGCGTGACGTCTCCTTCTTCTTCTTCTTCTTCTTCTTCTTCTTCTTTGGCATTTAATGGCAGTTGGAAAACCGCTCGTGGTGCATTAGCGCCACCCACTAATCTGGAGTTTGGATTTACGTTGGATGTAAAATAAAATAAGCACCCAAACAAAAGCACTAATTCTAGTTTTCAGTCTTCCAAAATACTCGCAAGGAAGTTTTCCACATGTTCAACTTTTATTTAGTACATTACTGGTATTTTATTCCGCATAGTCTAGTCTGCTTAAAACGTCTCTTGCTGAATAATTGTGGCATATCTTTTTGACGTGTCCCTTAATCACCACATTAGCTTCGGACTTACATTCATGTTATTTCTCCTCTTCAAAGTCCAACTCCAATATGGGCAGGGGCCACAAAAAGTGTGAGGAAATAACTCAAGGCCTTCATGTCACCTGCAAACACACAGAAATCACCAAGTATCTTCCTGCTGCTGCGGCTCTGCGTGTTTCAGGGTCTTTAGATCCATCCGTATCCATCTGTAAAGAACTGTGGTAATTCCTTTGGATGTAGGACTTAAAGATCCTAGTTTCCCCCTCGCTCCTTTCTTATCATTTCAAAGAGGCCACTTCAATTTCTGGCTGTGGCAACCAAACCAAAAGGGAAATCTGGCAGAATCCCAGCAGGAGAATAATTCCTCACCAGCCCTTTCCTTATTTATATGTAGGTTTCCTCCTTCTTGGATGCAGCCTGTGGTTTCTGAGGATTTACGGCAGTTCACAGGGTCCCCAGCAGGGAGCGATACGATACCAAAGATATCGATCTGAGTTTGAAGTCTCTGATGCTGTGTCTGTACAGCCGTCTGTAAACTGACCTCTGACTGTACTACATTGATGCAACGCCTACTAAACTCACTCCTTCACGAGGACATTCCACAATGACAACCAATGGAAAGATATTCACCTTCAACATAACGTAGAAAATAACGGACAGAATGGAAATTTCCATGAACTTACGATTTGATTTTCTCATGTGGAGTAATAACATTGATGTCTGGAATCATACAGCTCATTTATAAGACAAACTACCACATTTTTTTGAGGAAATTGCAAGTTGTTGTGCATTTCTAGTATTGTTGACAGGTTTAATTGAGCAACAGTTTCCCAGATTGTTTTCACGGGATCTCAGGGTGAAACCATCTGCGTGGTGTGTGAAGCGCTCTGGAGCCACTGCAGCTTGTAGGAGGCCTCTGATGAGCAAAGCGGACAGCCGATGCTGGTGGGAGTCGGGAGCCCCCACGAGGCGGTTTGCTCGTGGTGGATGACTCACCCTGCGTTCCCGCTCAACAATAGGAGCCATAGAGGAGCAGGCTCCTGCTTGGGCCGCCCGCCGCGGGATGAATCTCAGCTTTGTTTGGCCGCAGTGATGCCCAGCTGACCAGTGTTTCACACTGAATGTGTGTTTGGACCCAAACACGAGCCGCCTCAGCTGCTCCTCTTGTTCCTCTGTGTGACTCGGGCCTTTACAGGAACGTCTGTGTCCCTTATGACAACAAGAAAGTGGCGCCATCGCAGATCTGGGCTCTGTTGGAGCTTTGAATGAGGAAAGGCCGGGGTATCGTTTCAAAAGGCCCATTGGGACATTCCCACCGCGTCCTCATCCCATCATGTCTGTATAATAACAACAACAATAGAAAAACATGCACAATGAGATCAACCGGACCTCTAAATTTCTCAAGGAATGAGAGAGCCGAGAGAGAGAGAGAGAGAGAGAAAGAGAGAGAGAGAGAGAGTCTTAATGCAGCTTTTATTCCAGCTACAAGCAACAAGAGGGTTGCTTTCAGCATTTTAAGACTTCAGCGAGTTATGTAAGCGGCATTAGAGTCGGCATGTGAATAATGCCTTTGTGTGTGTGCGTGTGTGTGTGTTTGCCAAAGTGTGTGTGTCTTGAACAAGCTGACCGACATGAGTGATGTGCTATGAGATGCCACCTTATCTGAGACTAAATGGATAGCAAAAAATCCTCACATTTGAAGAGCGGGGTTATGTAAACACTTGATAAATGAATCACTAAATCCTTTGAAAGAATAAAAAAACGCTCTGGGCTTCTGATCTAGTAAGGCTTCTGACTCTGACACAAATTATAATCCATTTGCACCATTACATTGATTCATGAAGCTTCTTTTAATCAGCGTCAGGATACACCACCTAAAGACTTCATTTTCTGGATTGAGTGCACATCATGTGGTCAAATCTAGCTCAGGCTCCTCAAACTCTGGGATCTTCTGGACATTTCCCGGCTGCACATTGTTTGTTAGTCACCGTGGATCCTGCAGAGCTTCAGTGCATTCTAACATAATGTTTGTCCCGTTACGTAGCATGTAAAACATGTCCGACCACGTCCGGAGCCACTCTGCAGGATGCGAGTCGGCTCCTCTGACCCACAATCCTTTGGGGCGGCCGATTGATGAGCATGACGTCCAAAAGTCAAGCCAGTAGAATGTCCCCTTTGAATGCATACTACACGCACCGGTACACACTTTGTCAGGGCGGCGGCAGTATGCACCAAAAGTAAAAGAAAAAAAAGTATCCATTTAAAACATAGGGAGGGTTTAGGAGGTTAATCTGTGTACATTCAGCAAAGCACTTCACTGCATTTCTGAGTATTTCTTTTATACTTCTACGCCACCAGATCTAAAAGGCTACATTTTACTTTCTAGGGGAGCATAAATAAATGTGATATGTACGTACTCTTTGCTAATTACATGAAATAAGCATATGGAGTATGAGAAGAAGCACTAATTCACCCTTTAGCGTACAAAACGTCTTAAAGTGGCTCCAGTATTTGTTTACTAGTGAGCAGAGTAGTTTAATAATCCATCTATTCTATACAACAGCACAAGAATGAAGACTTTTTACTTTTGATAATAAGATAAAACTTTATTTATCTGGAGGGACGCAGTGTCAGTAAAACATGCAGAGACACAACCGTAGTACATTCTGCTGATTACACCTCTTGAACCTCAATGGAGGACGTAGGAAGTAGTTTTCCATTGCATGACTTTCCCCCCGTGTGACTCGGCCTCAGGAGATTATCTGGGGAGTCCAGCGTCTCCAATGGCCTTATCACATGACACGGGGGCGGGGCTTTGTCTTCCCTTTGAAATCCACTTCACGAGCGAGCAACAAGTCACCACTGGGCTTTTATTTTATTTTTAAATCCAGTGTTATCTCAGAGTCTCGGCGTTCACTTTCTCAGCAGCACACATGGATCAGAGGCATCAGCGATAAGTGCACATTTACGTATAGTCGGCTGCAGGACTTCTATCGAGGCGCACTGAAACATGTGTGGCAACAGGCTCCTGTTTGTCACATTTTAATGAGTCTTCGTTAGGCCCAAACTCATAAAATTCTGCAAGACGAATATGACTTGAAAGAGCTTTTGTTGCTTCCTGGCAACAATAACAAGTAGAAAACATTGCGTCTCCTGCATTGACACACCCGCCTCCTGCTGGATCCATTTTACATGATGCCACGCATACTTTACTTTTTAAAATGAAAATGAAAGCAACATTATTATGAGTTTGTGGGTGTTACAATCAGCAGGCGTGTAGAAGAGATCCGAGTTACATATCAACCATGTAACAATGATCACACATTTGTTTTTGGATGTGACGTGTTGAGTAGTCCTGTACAGCGGTTGAGTGTTTATCTGCAGCAGGGAGGAGGAGATGGGCGAGGCCCTTAGAAGCGCACCGTAACATGGCGTCCTCGTCTCTTGGCCCTCATCAGAGCAGCAGCAGCCTGCCAGACACACCGGAGCAGGAAGCCGGGAGGGGTTCCCCACCCTAATTTTGATTCCTGCAGTAATTATTCGCTCCCCCCAAACTGCACGTATATTTAAAATTAAATCAAAGGAGGCAAACCCCGGGGGGGGGGGAGGGGGGGTGGAACTGGACAGCACGCCAGGTTAGAGAGAGGAGGTCCGGGAACGGCACATGCTGATCTGTCGCTCATAATTGCCGGTTTGTGTCCTACCTGTGGGCGGTGCGGCTGGAGCCGCTGTGTCAGCGCGTCGCCTGCCAGGCGTCCAGCTGCTGATGGCGCCCATGCAGGGACGTTTTTGGGAGGAACACAGGGGCTCCGCTCGGGGGGGGATTTTAGATTATTCTTGTTTCTCTCATGGATTTAATCCTTTTACGGTAAAAAGAGACTTGAGAAGGAGGAGGTTTGTTCTCAGCTGTTCTCCATGCGACTGAACGCGTCAGTGACTCTATCAGATGATCTTTTCCCTCTCTGACTGAGTACTTGTCACTGTAAATGAGCTGCTGAGATCCTGCTGACTCCAGTTCATTAGGAGACCAGAGCGACAGACGGGGACTACTCGTGGGTTTCACATTGCTTCCATTCATTGGGTCTATAGCTTCTCAATCAGCGCAGCAGAAAACCCCCCAAATAATGGATGTTATAAAAAAAATCAAATATGATTGTAAAGTCAGTATTGAGCTTTCTAAAACACAATACAATGTGATCTGCTCTGCATTGCTCCATCAGACAAACCCTCAGAGCGCGGTATTTTAGTAAA